GCAGCCTACAAGGAAGCATCAGGGCCTTGGAAGGTGGCAGAGCAGGTGACCGATGTCCTGTGACCTTGTCCTGGCCAGCCAGGCTGTCTAGGTGGCTTTAGGCTTTTGTCTCCCCGCCTCCACCCCAGGTGATGTTCCTTCAGCGCAAAGGACAGGTGATCATGACCATCGAGCTACTGGACACTGAAGAGGCCCAGACAGAGGACCCTGTGGAGGTCCAGGTGAGGCCCCAGCCCCAAATCCATGCATGTGCATGCTGCATAGGGGAGGGGACAGCATCCAGGGACAGCGTGGCGAGGCTCCTGGGCACACACTGGCCAGGGGGCTGCTGGCCACCATTCCAGCAGTGGCTCCTTACAGGCAGAGCCTCCCTGCTGCCTGTTTCCAGCCCCTGTACCCACATGTCCAGGTCAGCAGGACAGGCAGGGCCTGGGGCCTCCCGGGCACGCCCACCTCCGGGCGGCAGCTGAACCGCCTACTGCAGATCCTGGAGGCCGGAGGCCCAGGTCCAGGTGGTGGCAGGGTCACACTCCTGCAAAGGCTCCCGGGGAGGGTCCTTCCTGGCCTCTTCCATGACTGTGGAGACCCCCTTCCAGGAGTTTCCAGGAAATGTGATCACTTAGCTCAGGTCTGACTTGAGCAGCACGGGGAGTGGGTGGAATCCCTTGACCACACAGGCCATGGCCACCCTGCTGAGCCCTGCTGTTGCCCAGCCCCAGGTCCCGTCTGGTCTCCCCTTCCTGTTGTTTGTGTCCTGACATCCATTCCTGTCCACTGCTCGTCCTGGACCCCACTCTCTCTGTGAGGAGTCCCTCCCTCCCATTCCCCCGAGTGAGGTTTTATGTGACACCCACCGGAAGGCCATTATGCAGCCTGGACTTAGCCATAGATGCCTGGAATACTGGTCACAGGCCCTGTTTGAACATGACCTGATTGTAGTGTCACCTCCTGGCCAAGTCCTTGGTTGCAGGCGACGTGTGGTGATCTCTGACACAGATCAGACCCTCGGTGACTTCTGGCCTCCTTAGGCTTTGGGGAGGGAGGGTGGAGGTCTCCATGAGCTCCTGAGTTGGGGCCAGGGCGAGGGCCTGTGGCCCTGCCTGGAGGAGTCACGCTGTCTCCCTGTCCTCAGCACTTGGCCCGCTACGTGGAGCAGTACGTGGGGACTGAGGGCGCGTCCAGCTCCCCCACCGAGGGCTTCCTGCTGAAACCCGTGTTCCTGCAGAGGTGAGTGAGGCTCATACCCAGGGCTGGCTTGTCCTGAGGGGCAGCCCTGCCCTCCCGAGGCTGAGTCTGAAGCCAGCAGAACTGTAGGGGGGCCGGGGGTGGAGGCCCATTTCAGAGGCCCCCACTGGCTGTGGGGCTGCATCCCCCAGCCAGGGAGCAGAGGAGCTGGGCCGAGACCCTGAGCGCCAGCCCCGGAGGGAGTAGCCTCGGGAACTGGCAGGGTCCAGCCAGGCGTGGCAGAGGGTGGCTCTGAGATCGCCTCGGCGGAGTTTAGATGTGCTGGTTTCTGGTTGCTTCGATACACACGCCCCGCCCCAGGAGGTCCTCGGGATGCTCAGGAGTTCCCTGGCCTGCAGACCTCCTCCTCTTCCCGGGGCGTCCCTGGCACCTCCTCTTGCTCCTAGGAACCTCAAGAAATTCCGGCGCTGGCAGTGTGAACAGGTGCGGGCGCTGCGCGGTGAGGCCAAGAGCTCCTGGAAGCGGCTCATTGGGGTGGAGAGCGCGTGCGACGTGGACTGCCGCTTCAAGCTCAGCACCCACAAGATGGTGTTCATCGTGAACTCTGAGGACTACATGTACCGCCGCGGGACCCTCTGCCGGGCCAAGCAGGTGCCGACTCCCTCTGTGATCGGGCGCCTGCATCTGATTCCTGCACCTTGGGGACCGTGGGTCCGGCCCTCTGTCCCAGGTCCCTGGCCACCCTAACGCCCCTCCTCTCTGCAGGTGCAGCCCCTGGTGCTGCTCCGCCACCACCAGCACTTCGAGGAGTGGCACAGCCGCTGGCTAGAGGACAATGTGACCGTGGAGGCAGCCAGCCTGGTACAGGACTGGCTCATGGGTGAGGAGGACGAGGACATGGTGCCCTGCAAGACGCTCTGCGAGACGGTGCACGTGCACGGCCTGCCCGTCACCCGCTACCGCGTGCAGTACAGCCGCCACCCTGCCTCGCCCTGAGCAGCCTGAGCAGTGACGCGCCCTCGGCCACAGCCTCCGTCCTTGGGATGTTTTCCTGAACAAGTTGGGGCCTCGTGTCCCCAGCCCTGCTGCTGCGGGACAGCCAGCCCCAGAGCAAGGCCCTGCCTCCCCTGGGCTCCGTGGCTCGTGTGGGCCTGTCCTGTGCCAAACCTGATCCCTCTGCACTTGGGCCCTGGGCGCAGCCCCGCCCCCCAGGGGTGGGCAGACACCCTGGCCAAGGAGCCCCACTGTGCATCAGGTGCCAAATCCCTGCTGGGTGGGCACGTGCCATCACTGACCCTGAAGTCCCAGTGTCTTGGAAAAGTCACAGGTGACAGATATGCAAGGCTTGTGCTTGGGAGAGGCTGGGTGTCCCCAAGACCCTGACACCAAAGTAGCTGGGCCCTGGGTGGACCCGCTTGTAAAGCAGGTCCTTCCCCAGCTCCCCAGAAACGTTGCCTGAGGGTTTGGGTGTCAGTCACGCAGCCAGTGATGGGCACCCTTGGTCATTCTTGAGAAGAGCCCCTCCAGCCCAGCGCTGGGGCTCCCACCGTAACTGTCCAGACCTGGAACCGGCGTCTGTGCCTAGAAGACCCCTCTCTGGATTAGAGATGCCAGACCCCTTGCTGATCCAGCAGCCACTCCCTGTCCCTGAGGGGAGGGGCTCAGGCCAGGTGCCTCTCTAGAGTGGTGTCCCCACCCGGGGATCCCTGGGGCACCTGGTCCTGCCCTGCAGTGGGGGTCCTGGAAGTACATGTGTGCGCACACGCATCTGTTCCTTAGCGCTCTCCTAGTGGCCCTTACCTCTGCAGCAGCCCAGTCCTGCGGCTTCTTAGGGCTGGGGTCTCTGGACGCCGAGTCCGCCCTAGCTGCCCTGTCCTGCAGCACCACCCCAGCAGCCACGCAGCCCTCTGCCTGTCTCCGGGACAGCTCAGCTGCTCCCAGGGTCATTTTCTCTGTTTGCGAAGAGCTGAGGTGACCTGTCCCTCACTGGCCCCCAGGCTCTTTCTGCCAGATCCCACGGGACAGACTGGGCCAGCGCCTCGGACCTCTTCCCCCAGCCCCCTGCCCAGTCCCAGCATCGGAGCTGGAGCTGGCCCAGAGCAGCCGAGCTCAGCCTCCTGCAGCACAGCTGTGCCAAACTCAAGGATCCAGGAAGCAAACACGTGTTTCTAGAAGTTTCCTGTGGAACTGGAGGCTCCCAACACCTGTGACCCCAGGCCTGGGCACTTCTGAGCCCATGAGCCCACCACGGGGCCCTTGCCTGTCCCACGTGCCTCGCAGGCACTTTGTACGCAGCCTGGTCTCCTAGGAGGGGATCTGATCTCGGGGACTCCTGAGCCAGTCCTGCAGTTGGCCGCCCGGGCCCGCCCAGCCCGCAGCCCTCCCCGCGCCTCACCTGTGGCCAGGGGGAGACTGAGGGCCTGGGTGCTCCGGAGGCCCGAGCCCCTCCCCGCGGCCGTCCCACCTCCCGCATGCTTCTGTGGAGCAGCGCTCTCCGTTCCCGAGGAATTTCTGTTCTGGGCTTGTCCTTCCTTCGCAGCTGTTTTGAATGTAGTTTTCCATTTCTATTTATTTGCACATTAAGGTTAAAAATTAAATATTGACGTAAAATCAAGAGGTTCTGTCAGTCATTTCCTGTGAGAATCCAGACACCTCCCTGCCAAGTGAGCCATTGAGTGCCCCCATGAGCCCACCCAGGGTCTGCAAGTGCCAAGACCCCCCAGGGGGTGGGACCTGGTTCCTGAAACCCAGAGGAGTTAAGGCAGCCCCTCAAGTGGCAGTGCTGGCCTTCACAAGGTCACCCCACCCCAGCTCTGCCTGCCCCAACGTGGGAATATTTTCTAGAACGTTCTGTCCTAATTCCATTTCCGCTTTCAGTAGAAATGAGAATCATCTCCTTCGCCTGAGTGTTGAGTGGTGTCTGCTTTGGGCTTTCTGCGCCCCGCCGACCGTCGCCTCCCCTGGGCCCCCACGTCCTGAGGCCTGCACCAGCACCCACAGAGCCAGCCTCCCTCCTGGCCCCACCCTCCACCCGCCGCCTGCTCCCTGGCCTTCCAGTCTGCGACCCCTTCATACCTGGGCAGCCCCCCACCTGTCTCTGGATAACTGCTGCCCACAGCTCTGCTTACAGTCCTGGCTGATGCCACCTTCCCCTGAGGGTCCACATCCCCTCCCGCTTGTCCCTGGGCCTCCCCTTCCCCAAGAGAACCCACTCTCAAGAGCTGCCCAACCTCCCTCCCAGGACCCAGGTGTGCCCACACCCGGCGCTGCACAGGCAGAGTCTGCCCTGGGCACGCACACCAGAGGGTCAGGGCTGCTGGGCAGGCTGGTCAACCTGGCTGAAGTGGTCCTGTCCCCAGCCCATGTCATCTAGGTGTCCAGGGCCTCAGCAGTCAGAAGTGCTACAGGGACCAGAGGACGTGCTCGGAGAAGCCCCCTGCCCTCCAGTGGGCAGGGTCTGACCGACATGCTGACAGTGATGTGATCTGGGTCATCACCCAACAGTGTCTGGAGAGGGGCAGTGCAGCAGGGGTCCTGTGGTTGCTGAGAGCTCCGACCACCCACCGCCTGGACCCAAACTGCCACCAGCTACAGAGGAAGACGCAGCCCTGCGGACGCCTGGGTCACAGCCCTATGAGACCCAGAGCAGATGGGGCGGGCGGGTGGTCTGTGGGCCTGGAGGGGAAAGGCAGGCGTCCAGGGCTGGATGGGCCAGACCCCAGGCCCTGACTCCCAGAGCTGTCGGTGTGACACTGGGCGTGACATTTGGCCCCAGGGGATGGGCGGGCACCCTGTTCTCAGGCCAGGCTCAGGGGTTAATGTGCTCGTCCACAGGGCGACGCCCACTAGGGACAGAGGAGGGGGTGGCAGGCCTGTGGGTGCCCACCTAACTCATCCACCTCCAGTGAGGCAGCAGAGGAGGTGCTCGGGGACAGTCCCTGGGCCTTCCCGGGGTCCCGAAGAACTGGAAGATGAAGAAATCTAGACAAGACCTGGGTCTCTTTGCCAAATTTTCTGTTTAAAAAAATATTTTTAAAAAATATGTATAAAATACAAATATGTACAATATAAATGAATTAATATAATGTAAATTTACCATTGAGACCATTTTTCAGTGTGCCATTAGGGCCCTGAGCACAATCACAGTGTCCTGCGCTGTCACCACCATCTCCAGAGTGCTCCTATCCTATAAAACTGTCCCCAGGGAAGCCTCAGCCCGGTCCCGCCCCGCCCCTCTACTTTCTGTCTGAACTTGAAGACCCCAGGGACCTCACAGGAGTGGAGTCGGTAGTGTGTGTCTTTCTGTGGCTTCTGTCACTCAGCATCACGTCCTCAAGTTCCTTCCATGTTACAGATCCTCCCTTTTTAAGGCTAATAGTCGGCATTTTAAAAATAATGTCAGTTTTTATGACAAGTAACACAGGACGTAGGAAATTCCAAAGTACAAAGAACCAGTCGGAGAAAAGCAGGCCCCAGCTCTCTCCCCAAGGAGAGGTGCCAGGACACCGCCCGACAGTAATGGGGATGTCACATGTCCTCACAGGGGCTCTGCTGGTGCTGTCACAGCGTCGTCCCATGGAGGGGCTGTTGCCGGGCACATCCCGGCCCCCCTTCCCAGGGCTGCCGTGAGCATCGCGGGCCAGACGTCTTCCTGAGCGTGAGCATCTCGCCTAAATTCCTGGACAGGAACCGAGTCAAAGCGCGTGAGTCACGATTTCAATGCATAATTGCCAGACCCCCCTTTCCCGCCCTGCCCTGCCCTGCCCAGTGACACGGGGCGCCCCCGTACCCCCTGGTGCCCCCTGGGTGTTCCTGGTGCTGCTCACACCCGGCTCGTCTTCTGCTTGTGGAGGACGCCTGCCCCCATCTCCGTTGCCAGGAGACACAGGCATGGGCTGAGGGACAACTGGATGCTGTGGAGGCTGGCTCTGTCCAGGACTCTGCACAGTCACTTCCTGGCTGATCCCTTCATCGTTGCATGTGTGGCTAGATGAGGACCCTGGTGACGCAGGAAGTGGCCGAGCGGACCCCTCCCCCTCTCCAGTTGACTTTGTCCTCCCGGACCCCAGGCGGCCCTGGCTGCCCCTCCTGCGGCCAGACCTGCACCCCACCACAGCGGCCAGCCCTGACCCCAGTGTGGGGCTCCCCCATGCAGGACAGGTGGAGGTGTCTGTGTGGCAGGGACACCGCTGAGTGCCGTCACCCACCCCGAGCCTGCTTTCCATGCGCACAGAGGGTGCCCATCGGGTACTGCATAGTGTCCCCACAGAGCGCCAGAAGCAGGGATATGGGGGCTGGAAGGGAGGGGAGGGGACCCTGGAAGGGTGACTCAGTCCCTCTCCGTCCCAGGCGGAGGGAGGGGCAGGAAGCAGCAGAGGGGCTCTGAGAACCAGGCCCAGGGCTGCCGAGGAGCCCTGACCAGGGCCCCCATGGCAGAGGTGGCCTCGTTGGGGTCCCTCGGTCACTTTCAGCAGACCTCACCCTCACAAGGGGGCTCCCCCTGCGGCTCCTCACCTTGCTCCTGCAGAGGACGAGTGGGACAGCCCTGGGGAGGCAGTGACAAGCTGGGGCAGTCCCCAAGAGGACTTGGGGTGCTCTGGGGAGGGGGTTGCTCACCTGCTTTTGACCTCTGACCCAGCAGGGAGGCTGGGCTCTTGTCCTCCCACCACAGACAGGAAATAGGGGGTGGCCTCAGGAAGGACTGAGTGCCCTGATGGGGCAGGGACATGGCAGGCCAGACTGCCATCCAACAGGAGCTGTGGACGTGACTGGCCAGCAGGATGTAGCCACTCGGTCCGCAGATGCTTCCTGGGCTGGACAGCTTGGGTGGGGGCTGCGGCCGGGGTCCCCCTCCGTCTCGCTGGCACAGCACCCGTGAGTGCCCCAGCCCGGCCCTGAGGACTCCCACGCCTCCCACAGGCTCCCGGGAACAGCTGGGCCGTGGGCTCGAGGGCGGCCAGCTCCCCACTCCGGAAGCAGTGGGGGTGGGTGCGAGGCAGGAAGCCAGGAGGCAGGCGGCAGTCAGAGCCGAGCCTGCGGGAGCATGCGGGGGCTGCTGCTGTGGCCCCTGGTGCTGGGGCTCGGCCTGGTGGGTGACAGCCAGACCCCCGGCATCTACGACGAGGGCTGGAGCACAGAAGGAGGCGACGGTGAGCCACCTGGCCCCCGGGGTGAGGAGTGGTCGTCCGCAGAGATGGAGCTGGGTCCCCAGAGCCGAGAGGGAGGTGGGGAGCGTGGGGGCACTGTTGGCCCAAGGCCACCCTCTACGCTGGCCTTGGCCCCGCCAGGCTGGGCGCTGTTCAGAATTGTCCAGTTTTATCCTGCCCTCCCAGGGGATCCTGGGGGCTGGGGCTGGGACGTTCTGGCACCCACAGCCACAGGGGCCAGTGGGGGTCCGGGCTGAGGGACCCCTCGGGCACCCGCACCCCCTCCCTCCCTGGAGTGGGGGGAGGTGGGAGCCCCGGCTGACGGTGCGGCCTCTCTCCCCCAGAGGGTACGCTGGGGCCCTTGCCCAGGCCCGGGGAGGCGCAGCCGGACCAGCCTCACCTGCGCAGCTTCCCGGGCCAGCCCTGCGCCAACGACAGCGACGCGCTGGAGCTCCCAGAGCGCTCCCGGGCGCTGCTGCTGGGCTGGGTGCCCACCAGGCTGGTGCCCGCGCTCTACGGGCTGGTCCTGATGGTGGGGCTGCCCGCCAACGGCCTGGCGCTCTGGGTGCTGGCCACGCGGGTGCCGCGGCTGCCCTCCACGGTGCTGCTCATGAACCTGGCCACTGCCGACCTGCTGCTGGCTCTGGTGCTGCCGCCGCACCTCGCCTACCACCTGTGGGACCAGCGCTGGCCCTTCGGCGAAGTCGCCTGCCGCCTGGCCACGGCTGCCCTCTACGGCCACATGTACGGCTCTGTGCTGCTGCTGGCCGCCATCAGCGTGGACCGCTACCTGGCCCTGGTGCACCCCCTGCGGGCCCGCAGCCTGCGCGGCCAGCGCCTGACCGCCGGGCTCTGCACGGCCACCTGGCTCATGGCGGCTGCCCTGGCACTGCCCCTGACCCTGCAGCAGCAGACCTTCCGGCTGGCGGGCTCCGACCGGGTGCTCTGCCACGACGTGCTGCCCCTGGGCGCCCAGGCCTCCCACTGGCGGCCGGCCTTCACCTGCCTGGCCCTGCTGGGCTGCTTCCTGCCGCTGCTGGTCATGCTGCTGTGCTACGGGGCCACCTTGCACACGCTGGCGGCCGGCGGCCAGCGCTACAGCCACGCGCTGCGGCTGACCGCCCTGGTGCTGGCCTCGGCCGTGGCCTTCTTCGTGCCCAGCAACGCGCTGCTCCTGCTGCACTACTCCAACCCCAGCCCGGACGCCTGGGGTGACCTCTACGCCGCCTACGTGCCCAGCCTGGCCCTCAGCACGCTCAACAGCTGCGTGGACCCCTTCATCTACTACTACGTGTCCCTGGAGTTCAGGGACAAGGTGCGGGAGGGGCTCTGCTGCCAGCCGCCAGGAGCCACCACGGCCTCCAAGGCCTCCGGGGAGGTGGGCAGCCCTGGGTCGGGCACCCGCTCCTCTTCACTCCCGTGACACCCTCAGGAGGGTGGCCAAGGGGGAAGGGGCCACCTTGGGAAGAGCAGGGTGTCCCCCTAAACCCACGTCCTTCCCAGAACCTCGGAGCATGACCTCACTTGGAAATAAAGTCAGTGTAACTGTCCTTAGTTATGATGAGGCCACGTTGGAGGGAAGCTGGGCCCTCCGCCAGTGGCTGGTGTCCTTCCATAAAGGGGAGAGGACACAGAGACCCAGGGAGAAGCCCTGTGACAAAGGAGGCAGGCTGGAGTGACATGGCCGTCGAAGCAGGAGAGGGCCTGGGGCAGGCCGCCCACACACCTCGGACGGGCCAGCCTCGCGGACACCCTGCGCTTGGGTTCCGGCCTCCAGAACGGAGACAGTGAATCTGTTGTTTTTAAGCCACTTGGTGCCTTTCTACAGCGGCCCAGGGACACAGGGTGAGGCTAAGTGCAGACTCCCGGCCCAGCCACCTTCCAGGCTCAGCTCTGTGGCGTGACACTGCCGTCACCAGGTGAGGTGGTCACCTGTGAGGTGGGGACGAGGATACTCCCTGAACCATCAGAGTGGGGTGCACCCTTGCTCCCCAAGTCCACCACCAGCAAGGTCAGCCTCCCGCCGTCACCGAGGCTCCCGAAGACCTCCCGCCCAGTGGTCTGACTTCCCAATCCCCTGATGCTGACCTCAGCAGGACAGAGTGGGATGAGGGCAGGGTGGACGTGTGCTTGGCGGCCGGGGCCAGGGCTGCCAGCCACAGCCTGCTCTGAGCTGTCGGGAGGACCAGGGGCCACACGGGTGCCTGTCAGGGACAGGCCCCGGGCACACACACCTCTGCTCCCCCCCACGCTACGAGGCAGCCGGACAGGGCAGGGGCTGCAGAGGGAGCCCCACCTGAGCAGGCCAGTCCACCGCTGGGCGCCCCACTGGGTCTGTCTGACCAGCCCGGCTTTGGGCCGCTGGCCTCAGGTGCACACCTAAGGCCATGCCCTGAAGTGCTCCAGGACGTCCCCACCGGGGAGCTGGGGTCACCCTCACAGCTTTATCATTTCTTCCAACCGCACGTCCATCTGTGAGGATCCTAGGGCACGCATTAGACCCTAAGACCTTCCCCCACACACCCTCTCTGGAAGGCCAGGCCCAGGGCCCCTGGCCATCACCTGGCCACTGTGCTCTGAGTGACCAGCTGCCGGGCCCTGGGTGTGAAGAGCTTCACCCGCTGTGCGTCCCCCAGGCTCCCACTCCCTGCAGGAGGCTGAAGACGGCCCGTGAGTCTGGAAATCAGCTTTTATTTTTATCAACAGGCCCTACAGTGGGGGGGACAGGGCTCGGCCTGGGGATGAAGTCTGCTGGCCTGTCCCTCATGGGCTGGCAGGAGCAGCCGGCACTGAGAGGTGAGGACCCCCAGGCTGGAGCCTCTCAGCCAGGGAGGGGTCTGTGCTACCCCCTTAAATCAGAGAAATGCTGGCTGAAATAAATACCGTCTTGAAAAGGCCCAGGGGGACAGAAACGGGCACCCCAAGGCCACCAGGAGCAACAAGATGGGACGGACAAGGGCTGGGGCGGCGGAGGGTCCCAGAAGGCAGGCAGCTCTGAGCACGCAGCCTCCACCCTGGGGCTGGGGTCCCCCAGAGCTGCTGGGAGAGGAACCGTCCCCTAAATGCCAGGGGCTGGGGACATGGGCTGTGGAGGCCCCAGGTCCCCCAGCCCCAGGAGCAGAGCAAAGTGCCTTTGCCAGGAGCCGTGGTCTTCCCACAGGGCCCTCTGCCGTCCAGGCTGCACTTGGAAGACGTCCTGGGCCAGAGCAGAGGGTGCAGGGAAGCCATCGTCCTGGCACAACCCGAGGTCCTGGTCTAGAGGCTCAGCGGCCTGAGAGCCCCAGAGAGAGTCCAGGGCTCTGTGTTTTGGAGACACGTGTCTTGTTTAGTTTCAAAGTCACAGACGAGGGACAGTGACGCTGTCTCCCTTCTCTGGTCAGCTGCGTCTTCTCAGAAGAAGACTCGGGGACCACAACACCTCCCTGGATGTTCCTTCTCCCAGGAGCAGAATGTCAGGCTGTGGCCCCAACCCAGAGCTGGGAGTGGGCACCTGGATGTCCACCTGCAGCTGTGGAGGCCGGGTGCTCGGGGACCCCAGCCACTCCAGCTGTCCCCTACCATGCTCAGGACTCCCCATCCTAGGGCGGGCAGGTTCCGTCATTCTGTCCACCAGACTGGAGGCAGGGTCACAGGGGGCTGGGGCGGACCCCTGCCAGGCAGAGTCACGGGCTGACAGGGACCAGGCAGGCAGATGGCGCCATCCTGCTTCGAGTGTGGTGGCCGTTAGGAAGAGAAACCGCTCTGGCTGTCCAGGAGAGAAGGAGACACTCCCTAGGGGCTGCCAGGCTCCTGGGGCACAGCCCTGTCCCCTTCCCACACCTGCCCCCAGGAGGCTCCCACCTGTCGCTTCCTCAATTTTCTTTTTTTTTTTTTGAGATGGGGTCTCACTCTGTTGGCCAAAGCAGCCTCCAGCTCCTGGGCTCAAGCCATCCTCCTGCCTGAGCCTCCCCGGCAGCTGAGCCTACAGGCGTGTGTTACCATGTGCAGCTCGAGCTATGAACCCCCTCCCTCAAAAACAAACCACAAAACCCCACCTCTCCTAAGGTCCTAGAGGGAACCGGAAAGTCGTCACTTAGGGAAAGTTTAAAACTGCATTAGTATAAAGGAAGGTCAGGAAGCACAAATGGACATATAATGGATGTCAGTGACTTCAGACTTTCTGTTTTAGGTGACGTGGACCCAGTAGTAATGCTAAGTAGACGGAGAAAAGCTCGCGGACGTGCATTATGATTCCCAGAGCTCCCCGGCCCCACCCCTCGCGTGTGCTGCCAGTGATCAAACCCAGGGTCTCGGGCACACTAGGGAGGTGCTCGGCCACGGAGGGACACCTCTGGCCCTACAAAAAAAATCCTAATGCTAAAATCAAAAGCTAAGTTAAAATGAAAATTCAAAAAGATATATCTGATTAATTGAACGGAGGACACAGAAGGGGAGTTTAACAAATACTTATGGGCCTCTCAATAATTATATTAAACCCATTATGTCCCAGTGTCCCTTGTATAGAACCCCCCCAAAATATATATATATATATATAAATGAAAACTAAAATGGAACAACAAGTCTCCTTATGTGTGCTAGGCAAGTGCTCTACCACTGAACTGCAGCCTCTGAACTGGAAACCTAAGCCTCTTCTGGGTGGAGTTTTCTGTCACCCGCACCCAGAGGTTCCTGCTGCCGGAAGCCAGCCCAGCTGAGCCTGCAGCCCTGGAGCCTCGTGGCCACCCCCAGCCCTTCTTCCCCCACCTCACTTGGAACATGGGGCTGGCGTCTGATGTGTGTTGAGCAGGTGGAGTCTAGAGGAGATGGATCCCCTCCACTATCCCCAGAAACTTGTGGGGTGACCCTGTAATTGAGGTCCCTCTACTGCCTGCAGGGGCGGTGGAGGTGGGCCCAGTGCTCACCTGCCCTCTGCCTCCCCCTCAGGCTCGGGGGTCCAGCGCAGGGCTTCGAGGCCAGCTGCGCTCAGCATGTTGCCCTGCTGTGCGTGTCCAGGGCCCAGGAGGGCTGGGTCGTCATCGTAGGAGTGGGACGCAGAGGCTGGTGGCTGCTGCTCTGGAAGGGAGGGGGGGCCTGGTCCAGGAGGTGCTGCAGGAAAGGATGGGGATTGCTGGCAGTCCAGAGGGACACAGGGTGAGGGAGAGGAGGAGGTACATGCGGAGCCCAGAGTGACAGAGGGGGAGGAGAAGGTCCCAGACCAGGGAAGAGGGGACACCCAGGGGCAGACATGGGGAAGGAGTGCAGAAAGACTCCAAGGTGAGATGAAGGTGGGAGAGACTTAGCAAAACAGAGAGCAGGTGCAAACAGAGATGGCATGGCAGCCAGCCAGCCAAGGGACAAGGACATCCACCTGGAATCAAAAGACAGAAAGATGGAGATGGGGGGAGGAGAGGTGGGAGAGGCAGAGGGAGCCTGAGCCCGGGGAACCTGGGAGACGCTGACTGGTCACCAAGGTGGAGTGAGGCCGGGGGAGACCCAGAAAGAGCTGCACAAAAACGGGTAAGTAGGAGGAGGGAGGTGTGGGGAGACAGGTGGGCGGAAGCTAACCAGGAGCACAGAGGGTGGGCGAGCAGCAGGCAAGGACAGGGCAGGGGCGGCACAGGCAGGCAGAGAGGGGAGACGGGAGCAGGAAGATGAAGGGGCCAGGGCTGGAGAAAAGGGGGAAGGTGGTAAGAAAGAAGAGGTCGATGCCCACAGCTTGGGGCACAAGATGGGGCCCCCAATTCCAGGCTGCAGTGGAGTCCTCACCGAGGGCGCAGAGACCCGGGGGCGCGGGTTCCAGGTGCGCGCGCCGGCGGCAGGCGGCCTCCTGCAGGTGGCAGGCGCTAGTGTAGACAACGCCATCCGAGCCGCACACGGGGTCCGCGTGGGCGCCACAGTCGCGAGCGCAGCCGCAGCGTGCCATCGCCGCCCCCTCCTCAGGGGCCACCGCGGGGCCCAGCTCGCCCGGGGACCAGCCTGGGGGACGAGGTAGGGTCTGCTAGGCACGGTGGACCCAACCCAGACCTTGTCCGCACTGACTTCCAGGCCTGGGGCCAGGACCACTCCTCCCCCAGGGTGGAAGGGAGCCGACGGTGGGAGACCCGAGCCCTGACACGGTGGGGTTTGAGGCAGGTATTTGCCTGGTACTTAAACATTTTAAAAAATGCTTAAGTTAAAAACGGTCCAAACCCATCCCAAGCTGTTTGGAAATTTTTAAATAACTGTCCTAAGAGACTCTCAGTCCGACTCAGACTTTTGCTGCGGCCTCCCTACGCCACGCACGAAAACCTACAGGCTGTGGGTGAGAAAGGTGACAAAGGCACTCGGTGGGAGTCGGCCACTCGGTTCTGCCCCCCCCCCACACACACACACACTCGCACCATGCTCTTTCATGCCCCGCCCCTCCCTATCGCTCTCACCCCTCCAAGCCACGCCCCACCACGCCCCTCCACAAGGCAGCCCCGCCCAGCTCAGCCCCGTCTGCTCCGCTGCGCGGGCTCCACGGCTCTAATGTGCTGTTCCCTGCTACATCTGGAGACCCCTTCTTTCTCTGATCTCAGGAAGACGCCCTTCCTGGAGCCCGCGGGGGTGGGGCGGGGTGGTAGGAGGTCAGTGGTGGGGCGACAGTGGCCTCGCGGACTCACCGCGACTCTGGGCTGGGGCGCGCTCCACCTCGTTGCACGCGGGGCCCGCGCACAGCTCCCGGGCAAGTGGGCTGCGCGCGCTGACGTTGTAGAAGCGCGTGGCCTGGAAGGCTGCGGGGCGGAGGACGGCGGGTTAAGAGAGGCCGGGAGAAGGGCCAGGCTGGGGGTGCGGGCAGCGCTGGCCTACCAGGCTCGTAGTAGTCGTACACCGAGATGGGCAGCGCCGAGGTCCTGCCCACGACGTACTCACGGAGCGCCTGGAACTTCACGCACGTCAGGCACTGGCTGGGGATCTGCGGGGACAGTAGGCAGGCTCAGGCCCTGCTGGACCACCGGCCCAGGGGGCTGCTCTGTGATGCCTCAAGCGTGGGTCCTTCCTGGGGAAAAGTCTCGGATGAAGCTGCCTTCAGACCCCTCCCTCTCTTGTGTGCGCGTGCACGGGTGTGTGTGGCACTGAGTGCGTTCGCCATGCTGCACGCTCGCCTCTTCTCGGGAACACTTCTGCCCCCCAGAGGGAACCCTCTCTATCAGCCGTCACTACCTGTTCCCCTCCCCCAGCCCCTGGCAGCCACTAATCAGGATCTCTGTGGTTCTCTTGTTCTGGACATTTCATGTCAACAGACTCCGCCGTGAGTGGCCTTGGTGTCTGGTTTCTTTCCCACAGCATGGGTCAGTGCTTCACTCCTTTTTATCAAAGAACAATATTCTGCTGCTCCCCTCCCCGATTTTCCACCCGGCACCAGCCTTCAGCACCACCAGCTCTGCCTGCAGCTTCGCCGGGTGTGGCTTCCGGGCCGTCAGAGAGCTGCGGGCAGCTACAGCAGCCTCTACCCTCAGCAGCGAGCATGGCTCCCCAGCTGGCCGTACCTCGTCAAAGTAGAAGAGGACCCTGCGTCCGGCCACCTCGTACCTCTTCATCCCGATGTGTCTGTCAAGGAGCAGCTGTCCAGCAAGAGGGAAGTCAGGTCCATCCTGGAGGACCCTCTGCCCCTCACTGGTCACTTCTTCCCCTGGCCATCCAGCAAGCCCTCATGGGCCAGGGCCTAGGTGGGCCGAGCGCTTGCTTCTTGCTCCTCTTCCCCAAGCCCCAGCCTGAGCTCAGCTGTGGCCTCAGGCAAGACAGCCCTCTCCCCACCCCTTTCTTCCCCTACAAAACACCAAGGTGACACTGTGACACTGGTCTATCCGGAGGATGGCGGCCACCCGCCCTCCGCTCCCCCCAGAGCCCATGCACCCTTGCTACAGTCCTCCATGGCATCCAGAATAGTAAAGGTGGTCCCAGGGGGTCCGCCTCCAGGAAGAGTCCCTTCCCTGCTCCACCCGTCCCTCAGGAGGCCCATGACCCATCTTTGCCCAGACAAGCAAAATAAACTAAAACAGAAGTCAAAACGACCCACAAAACTGTACAAACGGCTTGAGCTACCAGCCAAGGCGGCCTGAGGTGCTCCAGCCCTGCCCCCTCCCTGCTCAGAGGCCCCCGCGGGGCCCTGGCCACCCCTGCCAGCAGCACTACCTCACCTGCTCCAGGCTCTCAATGTCAGCCCGAAAGCCGGACAGCAGGGGCACCTCAAGGACGGCCATGTTGGAAGACCCTGTGTGCAGCCACCTTCCAAGAGAGGGGAGAGGGGGCTGGGGACCTGAGGAGGAATTCCTGGTCCCCCTTGTTCGCTGGAGCCCATGTCCTGTTGAGGTCTGCCTTGGGCCCGGCCAGAGTAAGGCCGGTCAGCTTTGTTAGCCCATTTTATAGTCAGGACGCCACGGCCACAAGGAAAGGGCCTCTCCCAAGTCTCTCCATGGGGGACCATGGCCTGTCCCACACTCCACCCTGGGAAGCAACTGGGGGCCCAACTTGGGGTGTGTCCCATGGGGCAGCAAGAGCCCAGATAGCTGACCACGCCTGCTCGGCCGGGGACCCCAGGCCCGTCATTCCCCAGCTCCGGCCCTCACTCTCTCCTTCCGTGGCTTGGGCTCCCTGGGGGCTTGTCACCTGCCAGGTGCTGGGGCCAAGGAAGGGGAGGCCGAGGTTCAGAACAGAAGGCAGGCTGTGAGCCACAGGCACAGAGCCCCTGGGGTGCGGGGAGGCCAGCCCTATACCTGGGTGGCCCACAGTGGCACCTTCCTAACACGTCTCAGGGAGCAACCAAGGCGTCCCCAGCAGGGCTGGGGGCCAGGCTGTTGGGTCTGGTCCAGCTTCACCCCCTGCCCTGCCTGCATCCCGAGTCTCACAGTGGAACAGAAAATGTAGCTGGACCCACTGCCTGGGCGCTTGGGCCACCTGGTCCTATTCACCAGACAGAACCTCCTACGGCAGGGACTTTGACACGTGAGGGTTAAGGTGGGGCAGGGTTGGGCAGCGCCCATGGCTCACAGGTACCATGGCAACCACTCATCATCCACCCACCTCTGGGCTCCCAGACCTTCAGGGTGGCCACCTTCATCTCTGAGGGTGAGGGTCCACCTTGGCTGGGTCCCAGGCTCCCCGTCAGAAACCAAGGGCCCTGGAGCTGGTGTGTCAGGCGGGGACCAGTGTGCCACCTCGTACGGCTGTCCCCACCCAGCCCTCCTGCTCTGGTCATCCCTGGGGGCTGTCGTGTCCAGTCAGAACACCTCCTTTACTTACTTTCTTGTCGAAAACCGTCCCTGAGCACTGGCCTGGTGGGAGCCGGGAGCCAGAAGGCCCCTGGGGACAGGCAGCCCTCCGCCCGCGGGGCAGCTTGGGCCGGGCAAGCGGCCTTACCTGGCACACACCTCCAGCGTCACCTTGTACTCCTGGTGGTGCTGGTCAGCCGCGGGGTCGTCATCGTCAGCCAGGTGCTGCTCCCCACCCCGCGGGCCCCCAGCCGAGGAGGCGGGCACAGGGGACGGGCGCCCCTCAGCCTCGGGCTCCTCCAGGCGCACCAGCAACTGGAAGGCAGGCTTGGTCACGGGGTCGGGCACGTGGTAGGTGACATCGATCTAGGGGTGTTAAGGACAAGCTTAGGGACCCATCCCTGCCTAACAGGCGTGGCCTGGGGGAGGAGAGAATGGGGTGCTGGGGGAGGTAGGAATGCCCCAAATTAGGACGATGACCCTGCGACAGTTCCAAGCGCGACCCTTTTCCCTCTCAGCCCGGGAACCGCTGACGTGGGTGCAGGCTCAGCTGTCAGCCCAGCTGCCTCTTTTGGGTGCAGAGCCGGGCTCACCACACATTGGGGTTCTCCTTCTGTCCACTGGGGAGTCTGCGCTCCCACCGTGGGGGGGGTTGGGAAGGCCGAGGCCAGCGAGGAAGACAGCTTGCTTTCCAACCACCAGCCAGAATTCGGGGCTCCCCGCCCCAGCCCAGCTTGGGGCCAAATCCCAGGAAGTGCTGGGTGGTGGGCTGAGGGTCGAGGACCAGGCGGACTCCCTGAGCGTCCCTGTTGAGGCCACTCAGGAGGAATAGCCTGTGCCCTGGGCAAGGCCTCCCGTGGGTGGCCGGGCTCTGCTTGTGGTCAGATTGACTGGGTCAAATGGGTTTTCCTGAGGGATCGCTAAAGACGCTCCTTCTGAGGGGACCCGTGGCCACTTCTCTTGGTCAGGTGGCCCGCCCAAGCCTCACCTGCAGGAGGCAGCAGCCGTCTCCCCTGGCGCTCACGAACAGCCCGGTCGGGAGGCTGGGGATCTGGAGAGAGAAGAGCCCGTCAGGCCGCCGCCTCCCCTGCCAAGACACACAAACCTGGCTCCAGGAGCACGCACCGCCGCCGTCTGCAGAACCTTCCGGTTGGCCCTGTGCAGCGTGAAGGTCTCCTGGTAGTCCAGGTTGGTGGAGGCCAGGGAGACCGTGAGGTTGACACCGCCAGCATAGGACAAGATGGCGTACTCTGCCAGGGCCTGCAGGGCCACGCAGGTGTCCTGGGAAGAGATGGCTGTTAGCCCCGGGAGCCAGCGAGCCGGCCACACCTTCCAGGGAGGCCTAGCCAAGGACGGGGCACCCACGGGGATGGGATGACCCAACCAGGTGACAGACCCACGGACCTGGGGACCCCAGGAGAGTTGGGTAGGTGTCCCCATGGAGGCAGGGGCTGGACTCCCAGAGGGTCCAGGAACACCTGGCCCTGGCCCCTACCCACTGTTAGGTTCTGTGACCCCCGAGGCTGCAGCCCTGCAGTGACCCTGCCCAGACCCAGTCTCCCCTCTGGCCCTGCCCGGCTCACCTGAGTGGAAGAGAAGCCCCCAAGGGCATTCCGCTGCTGGGACAGCCACTTCACCGCAGGCAGGGCGGCGGCCACGTCACCCAGGAGGGTGTAGGTCAGCAGGGCGTAGGCGGTCATTTCCACCTCTGCTGAGACCACTGCAAGGGGAGAGGCCAGCTGGGCTCTTTCAACACTGGCACCCAGGTCTCAGTGCTCCAGAGGCAGCCGCCGCGGGACGCACAGGGGGCTGGGACGGCCAGTACCTGACCGAGAGACCCCATCCCCGAAGCTCAGGAATGCGTCCTTGTCCACGCCCCGGGAACCTGTCAGGCTCCAGTGGGTGACTCCATCTGCAAGGACAAAGCTAGTCTGCAGCCACAACCCGCCCAGCACGCAGCCTGACATCCCCTGAGGAGCATCTGTGTGCCTGGGATCAAGAAGAGATACTGGGGGACTACACCTCAGGGGGAGGAAGGTGCCGAGGGACAACCAGCCGGAACAGGAAGGGTCTCCGGGTTCCATCTCATATTTTCAAACACAAAGCAGCCCAGGCTTTCTTGTGCCCTGGCAGACATCACTAATCAATGCCTGCCTCCCCTTGGCCCTGGCAGACATCACCCATCAATGGCCGCCTCCAGGCTGGGTACTGCTGCAGCCCCAGATGTTTCCACTTGGGGTCCAGGCAACCAAGGTGTCAAGGCCCTCAAACCTGGAGACAAACCAGCCCTCCCCCCAACTTCCCACCCTCACCCCTGATCCTAAGCATTTGGTCTTAAATAGACGATGCCATCTTGACTTTAGAATTCTACATTTTAGCCTCTTTCCCCACAAGCATGGAAGCAATTCCTGGGCTGATGAAGGGGGGCAGCGGCTGCAGCTGAGGGGGGATAATTGAGTGGGGTGGGGGAGGGGACTTGGTGGGGGGCGTCTGGATAAGTGGGGGCTTGGTGACCGGGGCTCTCTGAACACAAAGGTGATCATTTTGCATCTGGAGGGACTAACACCCCAAAGATGGAAATGCCTCCTTCCCGGGGCTCACCCACCAGTGGAGGGGAGAATGGGGGTCTACCTCCGCCTGCCCAGCATCAGAAGTTTGGGGGATCTCCTGTCGAAGACCCCGCCACACTGCCCTCCCTGGGGGTCAGCATCCCCCATTTCGCAGGCATGGAAAGCGCTCAGGCAGGCCCAACCTTGGACAAAACACTGCATCTAACCGAGTGGCCGGCTGGCGCGCTCCTGGGTGGACCATTCTACACGCAAAGCCATCAAGAGTGAGCTAAGACACCTCCTGAGTTGCACACGAGGGTCCAAGAGCTCAGAGTGGGCTGTCCCACACCGTGGCCTCCGGGGCCGGTGGCCAGGGAACACCTACCCTGTGTGATGGCGAGGCTGCGGAGCTTGCGCAGGGCCTCAGGGGCTGCGGGGCTGCGGAGCAGGGTCAGCGCGTAGGCGGTCAGAGCATGGCTGTAGGGATCTGTGGCCAGGGGCCCCCTGGACTCCAGGAAGCGTCTTGCTTTGGCAACGGCGGCCCTCTCCTCCTGCAGAGTGGGGTGACACCGGGAGCTCGGGCTGCAGCCCCTGCTGTCAGACCCCACCGCCTTTCTTCTCTGTCTTTGCCCCTTTTTCCAAATGGAGTCTGGGCAGGATGCTCAGGGATACGCCAGGTCAGTGCAGAGACCCTCCTGGGAGCAGGCAGGGCCAACCCTGTCCACGCCCACGCATGGCCAGGGCTTCAGGAAGACATCTGGCCTTAAGACCCCCAGTCCAGGCCCTCTGCACCCTCCAGGCCTCGAATCAAGAGGTGCCTCTGCAGAGAAACCCGCCGACCCTCCTGTGCCCTAGAACATGACCTGTGGGAAGACACGGGCACAGCCATCACCAAGGACAGGCTTGTTCAGAGGAGCTTCCCAGTAAGATGGACTCACGGGAAGAGTGAGTGGTTAAAGCAGGAACCAATTCAGCCAACTAGCAGAGACGCTCTGCCGGCCACCGGTAGAAGCCGTGGAGTTAAGATAACGCAGCGTTAGTTAACTGCTGTGGTCACAGAGAGAACGTGTCCCCAAACCTTTGATCCTTAGACCAGGACAAAGCATGGGAATCGCCTCTAGGTGTGGGGTGAGATTTAGCTCCCCAGAGAGGATCTGGGGAGGAGCAGGGCGGACTAGCCAGAGCCCAGGTGTGACCCATGAGTCCAGAGATGCTGACATGGGAGCTACCCCAGGCCACGTGGGCAAGGATGCTATGAAAACCGAGCCGGGAAGGACCCACCCCGCCCCATCTGTTGCTTTAGCTGAGAAACTCTATTATTTACAAAAAGTGTTCACAACCAGGCTCAGAGGGACCCAGGTCTTTTGGTTTTTTTGGGGGGGGCAAGCTCATCTGATTCCAGTGCAGGTGCTGTGGGTTGGATGGTGCCCCTACCCCCAAGAGATATGTCCCCTGAACCTGTAAACGTAACCTAACTTGGGTAGCCTCTATTTTTGGGGGCAATTCCGGGGATTGAACCCAGGACCTCACACAGGCTAGGCAAGTGCTCTACTACTACTGAGCCACCTCTCGGCCCAGTGTGATCTTATTTGGAAAAGTCTTTGCAAATATCATTAAGAATCTTGAGATGAGATCATCCTGGATAAAGTGACCCTAAATCCAAAGATAAATATCCTTAGAAGAGGAGAAGACAGACTTAACCTCAGCATACTATAGTGACATGGCCACATAATGTGGGTCAATACACAATAGCTAAGCTATGGAACCAGCCTAGGTACCCTTCAGCAGATGAATGGATGAAGAAAATGTAAGACACACACACACACATACACACACACACAGGGAATATTATTCAGTCATAAAAAAGAATGAAACTGTGGCATTTGCTGGCAAATGGATGGAACTGGAGACTCTGGTGCTAAATGAAATAAGCCAATCCGGAAAAAAAAAAGAAAAAAAAAAAACCAAAGGCTGAATGTTCTCCCCGATGTGCGATGCTAACACACAAAAGAGGGAGTGGAGGGAAGAACAGAAGTTCATTGGATTAGACAAAGGGGAATGAGGAGGGAGGGGGAGGGGAGTAGGAAAGACAGTGGAATGAATCAGACAAACTTCCCTGTGTTCATATGTGAACACACGGCCAGTGAAACGGCATGGATACAACCACAGGAATAGGAAGTCAGGCTCCAGGTGTGTATAATATGTCAAAATACACTCTACCGTCACGTGTAGCTAAAAAGAAGAACACATAAAACATGAAATGAAGTCATTAAGATTTAAAAAAAAGAAGAAGAAGAAGGGGAGAAGACACGGAGGAGGCAACCATGGTGGCACACGCTGGGATGACGTGGCCACAGCTAAGGATGTGCAGAGTCACCACAGGCTGGGAGAAGCAAAGAAGGCCACTCCTGAGCGCCCTCAGGGACCTTCTGGTCCCGGTACTGAGACAGCAGGTCCTGCCTCCGCCACCTCAGGGGCTCAGGGCCCCGACCCAGGGGGGAATTCGCCCTTTCCCTGGGGAAACCCCCAGGTCAGGGAAGATGGGGTTGGGAGGACCTGGAGAAGGCAGAGGAAGATTTTTCTGAGAAATGGGGTGTCCTGGGGGTGGGAGGAGGTGGAGGGCACAGAGACAAGTCTGAGGGCGCCCCCCCCAGCAGAGCCACCGTCTGTGATGGTCCACGTCCGCAGACCACCTGAATGTCAGCGGGAAGCACGTGACCCAGGGCAAGGCCTGGTGGTGACCCGGCCCTGGGGAACATCAGCCTCCCTCTCCGCAAGCTCCTCGTGTCTGGGGCTGGGCTGCGGCTCGGTGGTGGCGCGCTCACCTAGCAGGCGTGAGGACTGGGAACGTCCAGAGTCACCACAGGCTAGGGGACTGTCTCATCACTCCTTTGGTGAGAAACAATCTTCTCTCACATTTCACATGGCTGCTCCATCTCATCATTTAGGTATCAACTTTTTCTTCCATTCCACAAATATTTATGGGACACGTACTCTGTCCAAGGCAAGCACCGCCTACTGAGTATATTTAGTAATAAGAGACAAAAACCCCAGCCCTCTGAAGGCTTATATTTTATCAGAAGGGGAAATACCACATCTTCAGAGAGCTCTTCCCTGATGTTAAGGGGTCATTAAGGTAGGACCCCATGATGGGATTAGTGTCCTTATAAGTAGAGTCACCAGAATTCTCAGTCTGTGTGCATACACTAGGGAAAGGTCAGGTGAGCAAGGCTAACTCTTAGTTACTCTCACAATATTTCTTTTACAGACTCTGGAAATGAACCCAGAGTCTCAATCAAACTAGGCAAGTGCTTGATCACTGAGCTACACCCTCAGTCCAAAAGATCCTTTTTTATTTTCATCCTATTAGTACCTATAAATTTCCTATGGAAAAGGGCTCCCTGGATGCCCAGCATAGAAAGTGAAAAAAAAAAAAATCCTCACCTCACAGTGTGTGTCATAAAGCACAAAGTGCTGTGGACAACGAGAAGATCTGATAACTTTCAGGGGAAAGAAAAATCCATATTCAAAGGAAAAGTACTCAGAAAGACAAGCGACTTCTCCACAGAACACTGGAAACTAGAAGAGGATGGAATGGAATCCTGTATCTTACAGGAAAGTGAGGGCCAAGAGAGAATTCTATACCCAGCCCAACTATCACTCAAGTGTTGAAGCAGGATGAGAATATTTTCAGACATGCAAGACCTCAAAAGTTTACCTCCCAGTACTTTTTCTCAGTACAGCAGGCTCTCCATATTTGCAGATTCTGCATCCATGGATCCAGCCAAACAGGAATTAAAAAAAAAATGGGAAAAAGATCCAAAAAGCAAAACTTGAGTTTGCCACAGGTCTTGAAATATTCTGAATCTATGCAAAAGAACGATATATGTGCATTGCGTGAAGTATTATAGGTCACAAAGAGATGATTTAAAGTATAAACGAGGATGCGAATAGGTTCTCCGCCAGTGCTATGCCACTTGATAGAAGGGACATGGATTTTACATCCCTGGATTTTGGTGTCTGTGGAGGGTCCTGGAAACAATCCCCTTTGGACACTGAGGGACAAGAGGAAATCAATGATGGAAGGAGGCTGTGAAATGAAACAGAGGAAGGGGTCCAGCAGTCAGGGCAATTATGGTGCTTCAGCCAGCATGTGGCTCACTCTACCTGGAGTGACGGTCAAAGGCACAGGAAGGGACATCAGGAGAACACACTTAAGAGACGACTTGATGATTGTTAAACTTCCATGGAGATTTTTAGGGATGACATAGGAACGTTATGGATTAAATATTTGTGTCCCCCAGAATTCACATATTGAAGCTCTAACCCCCAATATGATGATAGCTGGAGGAGGGGTTTAGAAGAGGTCGTTAAGCTGGGGCCCCATGATGAGATTAGTGTCCTTATAAGAAGAGTCACCAGAATTCTCAGTCTGTGTGCATACACTAAGGAAAGGTCAGGTGAGCACACAGTGAAAGGCAGACACCCCAGGAAGAGAACCCTCACCAAGAACAGAATCTGCCTGCACCTTGGTCTTGGACTTCCCAGCCTTTAGAACTGTCAGCAATAAATGTCTGTTGTTCAATCCACTCAGCCAGGCATGGACTGAAACCACCAAAACCATTAGCCAAAATAAACCTTTTCTCTTTATAAGTTAATTGCCTCAGGTGTTTCATTATAGTGATGAAAAACTAATATACTTCCCAACAATTCTCACCCCCATGGTTACCACAGGTATCTCTTTTCTGCTCAGACTGAGAAGTTGGATGTTCTCAGTGGATGAAAAGTTTGAAAGAGCCTCATTCATGAGTAAGAGAAATGAGGAAAAATAAACCCTGCCATGAGGGGGGACCTCCCACTTGTTCCTCCAGCCCCACCCCTGGCCCCCAGTCTCCCAGGACTCCCCTTGGGCTCACCTCGGACACTGTGCCAGTCTCCAGGAGAGCAGCCACCACGTAGGCCGTCAGCGGGACTGCACCGTGGATCCCACCCTGCAAGAGGACTCCCAGGCCTCATCCCTGTCCCAAAGGGGACAGCCCATCTCCTGCCAGGGTCCTGCCCCCGCCTTAGCCCCTGCTCCCACTGTAACCCTGCCCCTCCCCCACCCCCAGCACCCCTGCCCAGACCCGGCCTCTGCCCAGACGCCCCCTCTACCTAGACCCCGCCTCTGTCCAGACCCCGCCTCTGCCCAGAACCGGCCCCAGAAAGGCCCCGCCCTGCCCAGGCCCCGCCCCTGCCCAGGCCCCGCCCTGTCTACGCCCTGCCCCTTGACCAGACCCCGCCCCTGCCCAGCACAGGCCACACTCCCCCCCACAGCGCCCAGCCCCGCCTCCAGCCTTAGTCCAGCGCTTCCTTTAGCCCAGCTTCGAGGAGCAGGAGCGGTGGACAGGCCGCGAGGCCACTCACCTGGATGTCCTTGTTCAGGATCCTGCCCACCACGGGGAAGGCGCCGTCAGCTCCCTGCTGCTGGATGATCCAGCCCTTGGCAGCGGCCAGCTCCTGGGGGTCGATGAATATGAAGCTCCGCGCCTGCGCGAAGGACTTCAGGACAAAGGCTGTGAGCCTGAAAGAGGATGCGGTGGGGCTAGGGGTGTCACCGAGCAGGGTCACCTCCTGGGGGCCTCTGGGGATCAGCCAGACATACACAGGTTTCTCGGGTGGGGGGCAGGCGGCCAAGCTGGGCCCCTGCAGGAAAGGGCTCAGCGGCGTGTCCCCCGCTCTCCCCCAGCATTGCTGAGGGCAGCGGGCGCTCTGTCGGTGAGGGACGCGGTTTCTATGGCCACCGTAGAGGAGCCCGGGTGGGGGCGTAGGGTTGGCAGGGGAGACCCAGGCTGGGTGGGCCCCACGGTGATGCCCAGGACTGCCAAGGCCGGAGCACCCCAGGGCACGTGGCCAGCTGGCCCAGCCCCCAGTGGGTCCTTCTGTGCTGGTGGCACCCCAGGCCAGGGACCCTGCTCACCAGCCACCTCCCGGCATCCCCAGCCCTAGTGGGCCGTGGCCTGGCCCATGACCTCTCCCTGCCCAGTTCTTCCTGCCCCGGATCACCCCCATTCCTGAGCTCAGAGCACCCAGGGGCCAGCGAGCAGGGGCTGGGCTCCGGTCACCATGGTAACAACAGCAGAAAGAATCCCAGCAATGACACTGCTGTGCCCAGCCCCGGCCACCCTGCCCCCCCCCCCCGGGGGGACCCCGAGGCAGGGACCACAGCTGTCTCTGTTTCTCATTGCGTTTCCTGCCACCCACCCCAGGTCTCAGAGCCTGAGTGTCCATGTGCCCAGGGTGGGGAGGGACTCACCACATGCTCCCCGACGTGTCTCGCTCCCCGAATGCACTGTAGGAACCGTCCTGGTGCCTGTAGGTCAGCTGGCGCTGGTACCCTACGGGAAGAAGGGGACCGGTTCTGCTGAACAGCTGCCCCGGGGCTGCCTGCAGGGCCCGGGCCTGGCACCCCCCCCCCCACAATGCCACCTCACGTCTAGGGCTCTGGAAATGGCCCCCAATCCACTTGTCAGGTCCTTGAAACTGTCCACACCCACACCTGGGTCCCTGAAACTGACACTCACACTCCTGGGGTTCTTGAGACTGCCCCACCCCTGCATGTGGGGCCACTGTGACCTCTGCCTCATTTTCTAACCGGCCTCTGTGGCATTGTGGGGAGGTCACATGCCAGCCCTCAGTGGTGCCCAGGTGACCAATGAAATGCACCACCTCAAGGTGGCACCCTCGATCAGTGTCCACCCCCTCCCAGGCCCACACGTCCTGAGCGCCTGGCCTTTCTGAGGGCCATGGCCTGCTTCCTGGGGCCAGACTCTGACCCTCTGCTTCCATCTGGGAGCTGAACGCTGACCATCACACGTGTGTCCCTTTCCTGTCCATGATGACAGGTGACTCCAGGTCACCAAAGCCTGGTGGAGGCTTCCAGCGCAGCAGAGCCCACAGAGCCTCACAGCCAGGAGTCGGGACCCCGTCTGGCCCCTGGAACCTGGGTGCCCACGTGCCTCTGTTTCCTCCCCCGAGTGGGGCCCGGGAGCTCTGGGTTGGGCACACGTGGGTCCTTCCTCCATCTGGGTCAGGCTCCCCGGTCACTCCAGTTCCAGCCCAAGGGCAGAAGCAAAGCCCAGGAGACCCCAGGACCTTGCCATCAGCTAACTTAACTCCCTCATGACACAGACGGGGAGCGGGGGCACTGCGAGGGACAGTCCTGCACAGCACAGAGCAGGTGCCCATGACAGGAGGAAGGCCCCAGCTTCTACCAGCCCCCTCTTGGGACCAAGGCGTATTGAGGGGACAGGCCTCAGATCCCGGCCCGCCACACACCCTAAGGGCCTCCTTCATGGGAAAGGAAGGTGCCCAGCGCTGTCCTATTTATTCCTGAAGATGTTCACTGTTCTAGGCACAAACAGCAGCTATTGGGTCAACTCAGAGCCAACTGTAATGACCACACTGAACTTTTCTTTCCCAAATTCAAAAAATTATGTGATTATATTACTTTTGTTGTGAAATAAAGATCTCCATTAAAAAAAAAAAAAAAAAGACACTCGCTCTCCTGTGGCCAAGCACCAATATAAAGAGTCATCCTAACGGCACAACTCCAGGCTCCTGGGGAGAGTGACAGACTGGGGCTGCCCTGAATGGCCTCCTTGGCCCACTGCACCTGGCCTGTAGCCACCCCCAGAAGGCTGCACCCACTGTGAGCAGAGCCATCCCCCTCCCTCTCCCCCTCTCCTCCCCTTCCTCCCCCTCCCTCTCCCCTCTCCTCCCCTCCCCTCCCCCTCCCCCACTCTCCCCCACCCCTCCCCTCCCCTCCCCCCTCCCCCTCCCCCAGGCAGCCGGCCCCATACCCTGGACCAGGTAGTCAGTGGTGTCCCTCTCCACCTCAGGGCTGAGCTGCTGGGTTTTCTGAAGATACCTCAAGACGAAGACATTGGGGGCAAAGTGGATCATGTTCTGCTCTCCGCAGCCAAAGGGCAGGCGCAGGAGCTTGTTGAGGTGGTTCAGGGTGGGCCCCATGACGTCGCCTGCGGGGGGGGGGGCCGCAGGCTGGAGGCCGTGCCCAAGTGTAGAGCACAGGAACGGCTTCTCCCAGGGTGGGGCCAGCTGCTCCAACACTGGACACCAACCTCTGACTGCCGGTGCTGCCCTGTGGGGCCACCCAGACAGCCTGGTGTCCCGGCTTTGGTGGCCACCTGCCCTCTCTCTCCTACATGCTTCTGTGTTTCCTAGCTGTCACTTGGATGTGCACTCTCTAGTTTTTCACTCTTTTGAATGTTTTTTCTTTTTAGGTTTTAAAATAGATGCATCTTAAGGTTATAAATTATCTTCAAAGTGCAGCTTTAGCTGCGTCCCACAAATGTCAGGAAGTCAATTTAGCCATTCTAAATACTTTTTTCTAATTTCCACTATTAAGTGTGGTTTCCTCTTTAACCATGAGTATTTAGATTGTTTTAAAGTTTCGTACACACAGGATATTATGGAATATTAGTGCATTATAATGTTATTTCTCTCTCTTTAAATTTCTGGTCTTCTTTTCTCTCATCCCTTCGGTATTCTGACGTCCTCTCCTTGACCTCTTTGTCCCAGACCCTGCCAATAGGCCCCCTGGGATAAGTGCTGTTCCCTGAACCTACCTCCTTTTCTTCTTCTTTAGCTTCCTCATGACGCACTAAGGCTGCCATTGCCCCTGTGCCTCTTCTGTGGCCCAACCTGACGGCTTCTTCATAACCCTCCTTCGGGTCCCATCTTCCTCTCCACTTTTCTGTCTCACCTGAGCTTCCTCCCACACCTCCTGCCTCCATCTGGCCCACCCACCCCTTTGCCCCCCGCCCTCCCCAAGCCAGGCTGTGGTCAGACACCTGTGAGGGAAGCAGCTGCCCGCTCAGACCCAGGGATGGCCCCACGTGGGACCCCCAGGGTGAAGGCCTCGCCGTAGCTCTCATCCACCTCCATCTTCCGCCAGATGCGGAACTCGCCCACAGAGCCCCAGCCCGTGGAGAAGCCAATGAACGGGACCTCCGGTGGCCTCGGGAGGGTCCAGGCCATGATGACGGACTCGTTGGATGGCTCTGGACCATGGCCAACCTGGAAAAAGAGACCAAGGCTACTGGACGCCGGCAGGAAGCATGCAGCGACATTCCGTCACCTGTGAACATGGTCAGGGGCCTCAGCCACAGCCCCGGTGTGAAGCAGGGTCCTCGGGGAGTCAGCAGCGAGGGACATCAGAGGTCACCTGTCACTGGGCTTCTAGGAACTTCTGGGCCTTACAGATCCGCTCCCTGTACCTGGGACATCTCTGCTCCTGTTTTACCAGGTGAACTCCTATTCATACTTCAAAGCCCAGCTTGGCTGTGCCACTCCCCCAAACGTTGTGCCAGCTGTTCCTTTTCTAAGTCCCCTTCCTGGGCCCAGAAAGCGCCCCCTTTCACCTGCTCGTACCCAGTCTCCCTGGCCACCACCACCCTTACTTTTTCTTCTCTTTTTTCTTTTCTTTCTTTCTTTTAAGCAGCTCCAGACAGACTGTGAGCCACCTGAGGGGCCCTGTGTTTCCCCTCATTCTTCCCTGCCCCCAACAGAGCCTGGCCCAGAACAGGAAGCAGTGGATACCAGAGGGGCACGAGGCTCCCGTGCCCACCCAGGCAGCCCCGGGTACCTGAACGAGCCCGTCGCGCCAGCTGACCCAGAACGTCCTGAACTCGTCCCAGGAGAGGATCTTGGCCGTGTGGGCACTGGCCACGGGCTCACCCATCTTGCTGGTCGCAATCCATGACCTGGTGTTCTGATGGCCCCCCAGGACGATCTCGATCATGCCCGCTGTGTCCTGGGGCCCCGAGGACAAGGCTACACGGGCGTCGTTGTGTGCTCGCACGGCCACATCGAAACGGGTGAGACGCTGCGGCCGCTGCACGTACTGGAACTCATATTTGTTGGGGGTGGAGATGTGGAGTCTCTCTGGATGGAGGAAGGGAGGCTGGAAGTTGAGAGGGAGCCTGGAGGAATCTGCCACCCTCACATAGGCTAGGAGGCGAGCACAGGAGGTGAGCACAGGAGGCGAACACAGGAGGTGAGCACAGGTGGTAAAAACAGGAGGCAAGTAGGAGATGAGCACAGGAGGCAAGCAAGGAGGCGAGTAGGAGGTGAGCACAGGAGGTGAGCATAGGAGATAAGTAGAGAAGGTGAGCATAGGAAGTCAGTACAGGAGGTGAGCACAGGAGGGACCACCGGACAGGGTTGCAATCTCCCCAGGACTCTGCACACAGCTGCAGAAACATGGTGGCTCAATAGCAGCACTGACGGTGGCACCCGGGGTAACTCCAGCTAGGGACATGCAAGGTGCCAGAAAGTGCACAGGCTGCTGATAGAAGCAAGAGAAGACCCAGATCCACGGAGAGCAGACTCCACGGGGTCAGGAGGAAATGCTGCAGACACACTGATCTTCCCCAAGCTGATCCGCGGACTCAATGCAAATCCAAGCAAAATCCTAGAGAAGTTGCTACACTGACTTTCGAATTTTCTGGAAATGCAAAGGACCTAGGGGACCCCAAACGGCTTCAGTAAAGAACAATGTTGAAGGATTCACCACTGGGCATGGAGGCTCAGTGTACAGTTACAGTGGTCACCGCGAAGTGAGAGCACAGGAAAGGCAAACGCTTCCAGGGAACAGAAACAGGGAGCCCAGAGTGGACCCAGGCACATGTGGGCTACTGACTTTCAACAAGGAGCAAAGACGTTCCATACAGAGAGGACTGGACCCGGGGCGCTCTGCTGCTGAACCACATCCCCAAGCCGTTTTTTTGGTTTTTTGTTTTTGAGACAGGGTCTTGCTAAGTTTCCCAGGCTGGCCTTGACCTTGTCATCCTCCTGCCTCCTAAGCAGCTGGCATTAGAAAAGTCTTTCATATAAATGGTGCCAGAGCAATTGGTGACCCACGCGCAGAAAGATGAACGCTGGCCCATACCTTGCAAGGTATCCGGAATCATCTCCAAATAGATCATTGCCGTTTAGAGACCAGAAACTTAGAACCTTAAGGAAACAGGACTCGTGAAGATGTCTCAGGAACAACAAAGTGTGATTCACCAAAGGGAGGATGGTGAGCTGGGTTTCACCAAAATGGAAGACTCTGCTTCACGGCAGCACTAGGACCTTGCATGGTGGTGGTGCCTATAACCACAGCGGCTCAGAGGGCTGAGGCAGGAGGATTGCCAGATCCAGGCCAGCGTTGGCAACTTAGGAGACCATTGACCTCCTGACCACTGTGCCCAATGTCCCCGGGGAGGGGGCGCTGGCTTTGCAGTGAAGGAGCTGTCACCGTGTGGTAGGGGAGGGGCCCGGTGGCTCCTCAGTGGGTGCACAGGACTCACCGTTGGGACAGAAGAAAGCACTGTAGGTGTAGGACCGCGGCGCCCCTTCAGGCTGAAACAGAAATGGAGCAACTGAGAGCAGGGACGGGGTGGTGGGGACAGTTGGCACAGAGGAGCGTCCAGAACTCCCAGGGCAGCAGCTCCGAGTCTGGACCGTGCAAGTGAGCTGCCGGGGCTTGTGGGGAACCCAGGGTGACACCAGGGTCACAGGCACACAGGAGTGACCTGGTCACCCACCTCCTAGGTCCGGGTGGCGACACAGAGCCTCGCCATCACGCTGTGAAGTGGCCACGTAAATCTCGCCTGCTCCCCGTGCCCAGCCCTGCCCCCCCCCACTGCCCTCTGGTCCCCGGGTGCCCAGAGCACTGTGCAGAGAGGCTGTGGGATCCGAGGCCCCGACAGACGTCCAAGAGCACGGTGAAAGGCCCAGGCCACCTCCACCTCCACCGCGTCTGTACCCGTGTCCTGTCTCCTGCCTGTCCACCTGGGCTCCCATCTCTGTCTTGTGCCCCGGGAGCCCAGAAGGCCATCAGCTGTTTCACAGAAGGGCCAAGATGCGGGCTCGGCCGAGGGGCCATAGACAGATACAGGGATAAAGGGAATGTGGACATGACACTGTGGACTATTCAGGCAGAGGACATGGCGAGTCCTGTCACTTGCAGCGACACGGATGGGACTGGAGGACATCACGTTAACGAAGGAAGCCAGGTGCAGAGACGGCGGGCGTCCTGGTTCATTTGAGGAAGCTAAAAACATTGATCTCACGGGAGGAGAGACCGGGATAGCGGTCACTACAGGGGGAGGGAGGGGACACAGACAGTGGTTAGGCAAGAGACAGCAAGGGACAGTAAAGGACACCAAAGCCCAGGAGGTGGAAGAAGGTTCTGATTTTCCAAAGCACAGAAGGGGAACTACAGTCACAATGGTCCGCGACACATCCAAATAACTAGGAGAGTCTGAAGGGTCCTGGATCAGGAGATGGAAATGTTGATTTCCTTGATTAGTCATTATACATCGTATCCATGGACTAAAGTATCACACTGTTACCCCGAAAATATGTATGAATATTACATATCAACTAAAAAAAAAAAACAGGTGCCTAGAATTTAACTCCCAGACCTCAAAGGTTTGCTAGAGTTTGGGTCTGGAATGTCTCCAAAGGCCCCTGTGATGAAGGCTTTGGGGAGGTAAGGGGACCTTTAAAAGGTGGGGCCTAGAGGGAGGCCTTCAGGTCATTGGGGGTGTGGCCTGGAAGGGGATAGGGTGATGCCAGCCCCTTCATCTTTCTCTCTCTGGTTTTCCAGCCATAAGGTGAGTGGCTCGGCTTCCCCATGCACTGCTGCTGTGATGTACAGCCTCGCCACAGGTCCCAAAGCAAGGGGCCCAGCCATCCGAAACCTCCAAAACCGTGAGCCACAATGAACCTCTTCTCTTTATAAGCTGATCGTCTGTATTTGTTACAGTCACAGAAAGCTGACTAGCACACAGGAATAGCTGCACCAAGGTAGCTGTGGGCCCCACTCCCTCCACAATGGCTAATTCTAGGTGTCGCCTTGACTACGTCATGGGAGGCCAGAGTGGCTAGAGGCTCTTTCCGGGTGTATCTCTGGGGGTGAGTCAGTCCCTCCCCAATGTGGATGGGCACCATGCTACCTGCTGAGGCCCAAATAAGGTAACCAGGCAGGGAGGGTTAAACTCCCCTCTGCCCGCCATCTTCCTGGGCTGGGACCTCACTCTTTTCCTGCCCCCGGTGCTGCTGGTCCTCTGACCCCCGGGCCCGGGATCCCCGCCCTTGTCTCCATGGCTCTCAAGCCTTCAGCGACACCGCAGGGGACAAGTCACGGGACGGCTCCAATTCCACAGTCATGTGGGCCGCGGCCTGATCATAAATCTCGTTCGACATCTGTATGAATGTATGTATGGTAAACCCCGATCTATGTGGTCACACGTCACTTCACAACGGGGATATGTTCTAAAAAACGTGTCCTGGGCGACCTTGTCATTGTGCAAACATCATAGAGCGTATTTACACACAGGCTGCAGCTGCTCTGACGTCCCTACGTGGTGATTGTATGGACCACCGTCATACGTGTGGCCCATTGTCTACTGAAACCATGCGTCTGTCTGTCTGCCTCCCTTTGGTTCTGTTTCTCTAGAGAACCCTGCACATCCACCCTCTGCTGGGTGACGTGGGGCCACTCACTCAACCTCTCTGGGCTGGGAGCCGTCCATGTACCTGTCTCTGGTCCCCATCCCTGGCGGCGGGGAGCGAGACCCCGTGCGTTATCCACAGCAGGGCTGGACAGCCAGGACACCTGTGGGCCCCACAGGTAAGAGGCGGTCCCGGGTTCACACCTGGGAGGTCTGCACGGGCCCTGACCTTGGACTCCCCTGCTGCAGGACACCTCACAGTCCCGCAAACTGCCTTGGAAAAGGGCAGAACTAGGAGACACGCACATGGCCCCCAAAAGTGGTCGGGCAGGGGTCGGGGTCACTCCCTCCAGCCCCTCCAGAGTGCAGGGCCACCTCACAACCTGTTCAGCTCTGCGAGGAGGGGCCAGAGGCCACTGTCCTCCAGCAAGGAGCTCCCCCCCGCCCAGCTGTCCCTGAGTCATTGATCCAGACCCGTGTGCTGCCCGGCTGTGGCTCCAACCGTGTGCCTAGCTGCTCCCCCCCCCAGGGCTGGGGCCCACTCTGGCCCCGCGGGTGGGGCCTGGCCTACCTCCACGGTTAGGCTGCGCCGGATGTGATCCGCCCCGGCGGGGACCCTCCTGTCGGGGGGACCCTCCCCTGCGTGTCTGCTGGGCCTCCCGTCCCGGCAGCAGCCTGCGTCTCCATAGGCCAGGGCTTTGGCTGTGGGGATTTGGTGGCTGTCAGAGCAGGTCCCCGCCAGGGTGGGCTGCCCCTCCCTCCCCCTGTGTCAGGCACGCGTGTGCCTCTGTGCAGGTGCCGTGTGCATGTGTGGGCGCGTGTGCACGCATTTCTGGGTACACGCGCACACGTGGGCTTGGCACCGCGACAGCCCCGCGCCCCCCAGGTGAGGCCCTGGCCCTCTCCCCAGAGCTGCCCCCCTGTCCTGCTGGCCCCAGCTGCCGTCCTGTCCTTCGGGACGGTCCTGACCTCACCTGCTGGCCCATCCGCCCCATAGCCCCCGTGGGGCCAGAGCCTGGAGTCCTTGGTGGCTGGAGGGGAGCATGGGGTCCCCACCTGTGATGTTGCTGAGCCCCAGGTTGCTGAAGGACAGGACGACCCAGGTGGGTCCCGTCTCCCCGGGGGCCACACACATCTCCTTGGTCAGGTGCCGTCTGCTGGGGTGCCCCGCCAGCTGGACGCCCTTGGGCACGGAGATCTTCACGTGCACCTGCGGGGACGGCACTGCTCATGGCACCTGGAATCCAGGCCGGCCTCCATCCCCCACTGTCCACCGCAGGTCCAGCCCTGCCAGCCCTCTCCAGAGGCCGCGCCGTCCTCAGAGGCCCTTTCCACTTCCAATCAGGCAAACCCCGGCGCTGTCTGGCTGCCCTGCTGCGGGCTTGTGCCCGCCCCTGACTAGCTTGGGCCTGCTCCTCTCCCAGCCCTGCGTCCCCACAGGTCCCTGCAGCCCCCAGGACCATGGGGGCTTCAAAGGCAGCCTCTCCCGCCACACCACCCTGGGGCTCCTGATGGAGACAACCCGACCCACTGCCAGGCTCCCACGGGGCTCCCTCTGACTGTCTCCCCAACCCCAGGGCTCCCTGGGGAAGAGTATGGCTGTGTGTGTGCACACGTGTGTCTCTGGTGCACACGTGCTCAGCCTGAGCAAGCACAGGGTGCACACACACCGGCATGCATGTGGGTGCATGTGGGTGCATATGGGTGCAGGTGTGTGCATCTTGTGTTGCTGTGAGCATGTGTGTGCAGCCCACGTTCCACCGTACAGGTGCGTGCCTGTGCCTTCTGAATGCGTGTGCACTGCATGTGCATCTACGTGTTTAAAGCCTTCCCAGACTAGAGGAGCTCTCGCTCCACGTCCATTTGTCCAGCCAGCCAACCGGGAGCACCTGCTGGGTTCAGGCTAAGCAAGACGCCAGCGACCCCTGGCCCCGGCCGGCTCAGCTGTCATTGGAACTTGGTGTCTGTTCTTTCTGAGCTGCAAAGGGGCTGGGGGTGTGCTCAGTGGTGGACAGCGGCTGTGGTCAGTGGGGGGTGCTTGCCCAGCACTCGCGGGAGCCTGGGTTCAGGCAAAGGCTGGACCACAAGGTGAGGGCAGAAGCTGAGTTTGGGGTGCACAGGCATCAAGGTGTGACACAGAGGGAAGGACACAGGAGGAGCTAAGGTGACAGAGCCTGGATCCTGCCACAGGAAAGGCCAGCTGGACCCAAGCCTCAGCGCCCTCAGGTTGAAGGATGCTCAAGATCTCCCACATCCCTCTTCCAGAAAGTTCTTCCATGGAGAAAGATGGAAACTCAACAGCCAAGTGTCAGTGGTGACATGTAACCCGGCTGAGGGGTGTCACGGGCAGAAACAACCAACTATGGAGTTTAGAGGTGGGACCTTCGGTGGGTGGCTTTTTAGGAAGAGGCAGACACCAGAGGAGCCGTCCCCGTCCCTCACCATGTGATGCTCCACACCACCATCCCCAGATGCGAGCTTTTGACCTTGGATCCCCAGAACCATGAGCCAAAATAAACCTCCTGGGGCCAGGGGTATAGCTCAGAGGAGAGAGTGTGCTCAGCATGTGAGAGGGCCTGGGCTCAATCCCCAGCACCAAGATAAAAAAATGAAAGAAAAGAATAAACCTCTTTTCTTTTTAAAGTTATCCAGCCTCATACATTTTGCCATAGTAATGCAAAACAGCCTAAGACACCATCTCACCCCGTCTCCCTGGTAACAGAGATGCTGTGACACCCAGTTCCTCACCCAGGTCCCATTCCACCCCTGCACCCTGACTGCAACAAGGCCCGCCCCTGCTCCCCCAGCAGATAGGAAAAGCCATGCATTTGGGGGGTTGGTACCTCAGCACAGGTGCCCAAGTAGTTGTAGACACTGAGTGGGACCTTGACCTGCTCCCCACGAACAACAAGAGGGGGCAGCGTGAAGTCCAGGAAGAAGGGCTTGAAGGTCTTCAGCAGGGCGGGCTCGGCAATTCCCAGGCCCCGTGAGGTGGAGAGGCCCACGGCCTCCCCCACCCAGCTGGTGATGGAGTCAGGCACCTGCAGACTGAGGGTCTCCTCCCCTGACGGGTCACTGTGGAGAGACAAGAGGGACCAGGGCCAGGTGGGGATGGACTCAGGCCACCTGGCTTGGGGGGTCTGGGGTGGGGGCTGGGAGCTCAGAAACAACTACTTAAGGCACTAGGGGAACACGTGACCCGAGAAAGCCACCCCTCAGCCCTAATTTGCTCTGAGAAAAACATGGCCAGATCTCAAGGTGACTCGAACACAGGTCTTGAGAGGGGAAGGTCGGGAAGGTTTGGGAGAGAAAGCTACTGAATGGACGGGCCCAGCCACTTAGCGGGGCTGGACACGTCCAGTGGATGCACATTTACGGGTGTGATCACGCCGTGCCCTGTAAGTACGCACCATCCTTCTATCAGTTAAGAAAATAATGAGAAAGAAAAAAGCCTGAAAATAATACAACAGAGTCTCATGATTTCCCTTAGCTGTGTTCTGGGAAGCCACCGTGAACTCCGAATTAGCAAACAATGGCTCATGGCTCCTACCAGAAATAGAGGGTCAGGTCCCTGTCAGCCTCTGGTCACATTTTGGTCGACAAATCAATACACGATTTTGTTTTATGGTTTTTTTTTTTGGGTGGGGGGATAACCAGGGATTGAACTCAGGGGCACTCGACCCCTGAGCCACCTCCCCAGACATATTTTGTATTTTATTTAGAGACAGGGTCTTGCTGAGTTGCTTGGAGCCTTGTTTTGCAGAGGCTGGCTTTGAACTCGCCATCCTCCTGCCTCAGCCTCCCGAGTCACTGGGAGGATAGCCATGCGCCACCGCGCCCAACCTATGTGTGTCTTTGTTCAAAGACACCTCATTTAGTATGTGGTGTGTTCGTCCCATGAGCTCACGGCCAGTGGCACCGAGACACCCTCAGAGGGAGAGCAGGTGAGAGATTCCACTGCGCCTCTCAGAAGGCCGTGAACTTAGGAATTCTTTGTTTCTGGAATTTTCCATTTAATTTTTTTGGGGCACAGTGACTGTGGGTCACGCACTACAGGTAAGAGGGACTATCTGGCAGGTCTGTGGAGGGAAGTCGTCCCCCAACGTCAGGCCAGATGCCCGGGGAGTGCCCTGCACCTGAGGAGACCCGCTAGCTCTGCTCTTGCCCGGCCTCAGTGCGAGGCCACGGGGTTCTCCGGGAGGGGCCTCTTCAGCACTCCTGCTGCCGCGGCCTTGTCAGAAGGAGGGGGGTCATGTGCTCATTGTCACAGATACCGCGTGGTTCCACTAATCCACAGTCCCCGGGTCCTCACCATCATAGACAGAAAGTGAAGTGGCGGACGTCAGGGGCTGGGGAGGAGGGACGGGGGAGTGTTTAATGGGGACAGAGTGTCAGTTTTGCAAGAGTCCTGGAGACGGTGGTGACGGTCATTCGAGGATGTGGAAGCTTAATGCCACTGAGCTGTGCGCTTGAAGACGGCGCGACGGTCGGTTTTATGTGATGCGTGTCTTTCCACGATTTCAAAAAACAGGGAGGAAAAAAGGGAGATCGTCCAGTCCCTCCCTGGGCCCCACAGGAGGCCCCTCCTGGCCTCAGACCTGTCCCTCTGATTCATCCTCGCTGCGGCCAACAGCGGGGAGGGACGTCCCAAGGCCCAAATCCCTGGTTCGGGTCCGTCACCCAGCCCAGTGGCCTCAAGCCCTCCGCCTCCCCCAGCCACGCGGGAGCTGCCAGGCTGTCCTGCTGGTCCCTCCTGGACTCCTTCCTTCCCTTGTTGGTCCATCTTACGCGTCTGGGCTCGGGCCCCACCTCCCTGCCTTCTCCAGAGGGTCCCCGGCCCCGGACCCCCCAGGCCTGTGTCCCGCATCCATGAAGGACGGACCCCACTGCTGCCCCAGGGCTCCTGGGGCACCTGCCGACTCTCAGGAACCCCGGGGACCCTGTCTGCCTTGTTCCAGGGACCACCCTTGGCACCCCAAAAGTCACCCAGCACCCGGAAAACAGAGACTTCTCTTGCAATGCCAGGAACGGGAGCCGGGGCTGGGGCCGCGCTGGCCAAGCGCTCCACACAGGCCGCCTCCCGGCCAAGCGGAATCCTCCGGATGATTTTGTAGCTGGGCCCCAGAGCAAACCCGGCAGCCGGGATCCGCTCCACCAGGAGCCTGCCTTCCGCAGAGCCCAGCTCCCCGGGTCGCAGCCCCCCAGGTCTGAGAATGGGAAGGGCACCCCTCCCGCTGGCCGGCGAGCAGCCGAGTCGCACCCTGTCCCCAGCTGGCGCGCCTGGCTCACTCCTCGCGGGTGGCTGTTGCCCTGCAGCCTGTCCTGTTCCTCTAGGGTGGGCAGACGAGCTGCCGCCCCCTGTTTGTGCCAAACTGCCATTAAATGCTCAGGGCCTTGTTGGCCCTTTCCCAGCAGGCGGTGGTGAGTCCAGTCCTTGGGAATCGCAGGCCTCCGGTCTCGGGGGCTGGTGACAGGAGGACACGCACATCCGTGCAGGCGGCCTGGGGAGCCCCAGCTGTGCTCTGGTCCTGCTGAGCATGCGACACGGTGCCCGGTGCCCAGAAGGACCTGGGCCAGCAGCTGGTTCATGCCAAACAGTCCTGGGCTCCAGACTTCCATGCCTGACCGGTGTGTCATGGCCAGGCACGGCCACCTTCGCTAGACGCTCTGACACCAGCAACAAGCACCCCCTGCATCCTGCAGAGACGGGGCCTCTGGATCCTGCTTCTGGGAAACTGGAGCTGAATAGGGCAAAGAGCGGCCGGCCCCACGGCAGGAGCCGAGTCCCCGAGGGGCCAGGAGGGAGGAGGGGGGTTCAAGTTCAGGTTCTGTTCAGCAATGTCGTCTTCTTAATGAGCTCATTATGCAAACAGAGCACACCGAGTCCCCCAGGGAGCTGCGAGGAGCCGGAGCCCTCCGACTGCGGACTGCGGTTCTCATGGGCAGATGTCCAGGCTGCAGGGGACTGGGGGCCGGGGGACTTCAACAGCTTTGGGTTTGAGGGTTGAAAAAGAACTTGCAGTGTCACCCCAGGGGTGTCAGGGGCAGGTCCACAGGCAAAGGGGTCGGGAGGGAACCCTCTGGACTCAGTGAGAGCCTTGGGGTCCACCGGAAAAGACAGGGAAGGAGAGGGACGGAGCCTACCTGACGTTGACACACCGCCAAAGCCACGTCTCGGGGAAGAACGTCCTTTTTCTCTTCTCTGCTCTATAAAAATTTTAAAAGGAGGAAAAGTGGTTAAAGTTTCATGGGCGCACAAACCCTTCTTTGGAGGTGGCTTTCGGCCTGATGAGACTTTCACATGGGCTTCGAGGGCCCGGCAGGTACCGTTGGACTCGATGGGGGTCACGTGGACTCCTTTCTCTTTCTAGCTGATCTCTTCCCCCCGGGAGGGTCAACCTTTTACTCAGGACAGCGGAAGGTGAGGCGGCCAACGCCGGGCAGAGTCCACCTCCGGCCAGAGTGGGGCCCACAGCCTGGATGCAGGAGGTAGGAGGGACAAGGGGACCGCCCCCTCCCTCCCCTTACTAATGTCCCTGCCGTGTTCTTCCCCATGGTCACACGGAGCCCCTCTCCCTCCCCTTCCTCTTTCCTGTGGAGAACCTTCTATTCGTCCTCCTCTGTGCCCTAGCAACCTCACAACTCACTGCCCTTAAGGACAAAGAAGTGCTTTTTAAAATTTTACTCAACCTCTAAAAATTAAAAATGCTCACATTCTTTCTATCAGCAATACCCCTTGTAGAAACACACCCAGGATACTGCCCCAGACACGTGTGCAAAGAGACAGGGGAGGACACGGCAGCCTCCATCAATACGGGGACTAGCATATTCATCAGCAGAATATTATACACTGATGAACAAGATCAATGGCAGTTGTGCATGGTACTCATGTGGAATAGTCTCCAAGGCTTATTGTTAACTTAAAAGAGGAAAATAGATGGGGCTGAGGATGTGGCTCAAGCGGTAGCGCGCTTGCCTGGCATGCATGCAGCCCAGGTTCGATCCTCAGCACCACATACAAACAAAGATGTTGTGTCTGCCGAAAACTAAAAAATAAATATTAAAAATTCTCTCTCACGCTCTCTCTCTCTCTCTGTCTCTCTAAAAAAAAAAAAAGAGGAGAATGCTGAATGTTTCATAAAAAATAAGAGGAAAATAGAGATATTGTTGACCCATTATGTCCCATGGTCCTAGATATAGGACATCTGAAAAAATTTAAATTGAACAATTGTATAGGTATCCATTATATAGGCACCCCCTACATAGGATGATGAGATGTCATACGTTAAAGTAGTCAATTAGATTTTTTAAAAAAATTCTTATATATGCCCAAAAGATATCTAAGAAGTTATCCATCATGATTATGATTGAATAAAGTAACGGAGGGCTTGGGAGTAGGAGGAAGACTGAAGGTTCATTGATACCCTTTCACAGTGTTTAAAAATGATTTTTTAGCCAAAGGTATACAGTGATCGGAAACCCTGTCCTCAGAATAAGGATGCGCATCCATTTACAAAGAGGCCTGGGCGCTTCTTGCGTGAGGCATTTCTGGCGACTTTCTAACCCTAAGAAGCTACTTCCGTGTCTGCTCCCAGCCCAGCTCCCGGATCCTGCACTTGGGTGGGTGAGGGCCCCCAGGGTGGCTGCCGGTGGGTGGAGGCCCTCGGCCATGTTCCACCTCCCTCATTCACCCTCATCCTAGAAATGCTTCCAGATGTGTCCTGATTTGGAGTCCGGAAAGCAGGAGGCTGTTGGCCACACTCCTGCTAAATGTGTGGCCCAGGTGGGGACAGCTGGAAAGACCAGGGCCCCCAGGAACCAACGGGAGGAGACTGGCAGGGGCGAGAGGCTCCCGGTCTGTACAGAGAGGACTTGAAAACCTGCTTCATGGACAGCCATGCACCAGGGAAGGAGAGCGCCTGGGCCACCTCTGGCTCAGGAAAAGGGTGGAAGGGTCTGGGGACCACCCTCAAGTCTCTGGAGAGACCTCACACTGTGGACCTCACTGGCCACATCTCATCTCCCTTCTCCTCCTCCTAGGAGAGGGTACAGCCAGGCCTGCGCTCCCTTCTCCAGCCACACGTCTCCATCCTCTACAGAAAGCCAGGAGGCAGGGTCCTCAGGACAGCTGGCTGGCCGAGATCTGGGGTTGAGAAGGGAGTGGGGGGTAAATAAGGGGCAGGAGAGAAGAGATGTGGGCAGAGCGGTGGAGAGACAGAAGAATAAAGTGCCAAGAAGAAGGGGGGACAGGGAACAGGAGGTCACGTCACTTCCTGTGAAGGAGAGGTTTCCTGACTCTGGGACAAAGCTGTGAATCTGCTCACTCAGTAATTGGTACTGTAAACAGACCACGAAATGGACAGAGATGGAGAGGATCTGAACACCATCACCACCGGGTTTGACCTCAAGTGTGCACTGAGCACCCAGAATTCAATGACTGGGCACTTGGAAACTCTTTTCAATAAGAGTTTTTTTTATAAAAAGCATCTACAAAAACTGGTCATAGAGAAAGTCTCCCAAATTAGACCCAAAATATGGATAGCATACAGGCTACAAATGCTTGTTTGTGAATTTAGAAAACACATAAGAATAATCATGGGGGGAAAATCATTTGAAAATTTAAAACACTTCTGAACAAGTCATGACTCCAAAACAGAATCATTCCACCAGTTAGAAACAATGTGGAAACAAGCAATACTGGAAATGTTTCATAGTGCCAAGTAGATGCAGCCAAAGTCGTATTCACAGGAAAATTCATAGTCCTCTAAAGGCATAGCCCTGATATGAGAAAGACTGAAGGAAGGAATTGGTGTCTAACCTGAGAAAACACAATTGGAGGGGAAAAGGAAAGAGAATGAGAGAATGGAAGGAAAGGAAGGGTAGGAGGAAGGAGAGAGAACAAAAGAAAGAATTTTCTAAGCAGAGTTCCTGAAAGTGGGACAATCTGTTCTCAGACCAGCCAGCACCCCTGAGGCATCTGCTTCTCTCTTCTCTACCCTCGCTCCCAGGCACTGGGGCAAGGCCAAGAACTGGGAGAGGTGCCCCAGCTCCTAGCCCCCAGGAGATGATCAGCCAGCTCTACAGTGGACTGAATGTTTATGTGCCCTCAAAATTCGTATGTGGAAACCCTATCCTTCAAGGTTTTAGGGAGTGGGGCTTCTGGCAGGTGCTTACGTCATGAAGGTGGAGCCCTCCTGACCCTCCTGAATGGGACAAGTGCCTGCTAAGGCACCACCTATGCACCAGACACTGCATCTCGGACTTCCCCACCTCCAGAGTGTGAGCGAGCCTAAGGTATCCTGTCACAGCAACCCAGAGTGTGACAAGCCCCAAACACCATCAGTGCCCAGGGTCAGACACCTTGCTCAAGGTATAGGCCATTACCTGGGGGGTTGCCTGGAAGGCGCCACGGCCACCAGGGTCCCTGTGTGGGGCTGGAAAGCCGGGACAACCTCGTCGGTGTAGAGGCTGCCATCCTGCCGGTGGTTCAGGCTGACCCTGTTGGTCATCACCACTAGTCCTGTTTCCTGGCAACAGACAACGGCCAACAGTGGTGGGGAAGTGGATGCTGATGGTTCCAGGAGCAAAGGGGAGCGAATGACAGTCCCCATCACCCCGTGGCCACTGGCCCGACCTCACTGATGGGCACCTCAGGGAGGGAGTCCTCTCTGGGCTTGGTGGAACCGGCTGAGGAGGTACAAACCCAGGGACCATCCAGCGCAGAGCGATAGCACATCTAAATTGTGGCCAAGCCTGGCTGGACCGCGCACAAAAGGCCACACCTGTGGGAGTCCACTGATGGGAAACAACAGTCCAGGGAATCCAGAGATAGGAAGGGGGTTCTGGGGCTGCTAACGGGGACGGGCCCCCTTTTGGGGTGTTCTGGGTCTGGACGGAGCTGGCGGTTGCATGCCAAGGAATGAACCGAGGGCCATTGAACTGTGCACTTTAAAATGGTGAGTTTTATGGTCTAAGAATTAGAAAAAATATCAACCTGACAGTGTGTGGTCCAGGCCAAAGGCTGGTGACTTTGTATGCCAACGATTACTTGTTATCTTTGTCACTGTGGCGATTATTGGGAGCAACTTGGTGGATGAGAAGACTCATTCTACTTTTTCCCAAGCCGGGTTCAACCCAGGGTTATGTGCATGCTAGGCAAGGGCTCCACCTCAGGTCTGAATGTCTGTCTGTCTGTTTCTGTACTAGGAATCGAACCCAGGAGCACCCACTGAGCCTCTAGGACTACAGGCATGTGGCACCATGCCCGCTGCCCGTCCCAATCTTAATGCCAATAAAATCCTAAATGCACCCTCCAAGCCACTAACCCTCTCTGGATCTGTGTGACCCTGAAGGGCACCTGGGCAGTTAGGACCTGCTGCCTGAGAACAGCCACTCCCCTCATTGAGCATTGCCAGGTACACACCAAAACAACCCAAGTCGGGCAGAGCTAGGAGCAACCGGGCCCTGCCACTCCCTGGAGACGGTTTCCCTCCCTCCCACCTAGCACCCTCCACATACTGGTCCATAAGTCAAGTTACCATCTGCCCAATCAATTAAACATACAGTCGTACCCCACATCAGAATAATCTGGTCAACAGTGGGCCAAACACTGTCAGATGAGACGTTGTGGCCATTGCAATGTCCAGCCTCCTAACCTGGGTGTGGGGGACCCTGTGCTGCCTGCTGCGTAGAAGCACAGCACACAGGACTACCTACGGTGCACACGGCTCCATAACAAGAATAAACCAATGGCTGCCAGTTCGTGTGCTGAGCACACAATGTCATTTTAGCATAGGCTCCATCTACTTGTAAAAGCCGTTCACTGTTAACAGAATGCCAGGTCACACTGGCAGTGGCCTCCGCCGTCTCTTATTGACCGCGTCTCTCTGTGGCATCTGTGCTTGGTTTAACCTCAGGTGGTTTTGTTCATCGTGGCCCCAGGAGCGACAGACTGTGTCCTGAACACTCCCAGGTGCACCATAGGCTGTACCCTCAGTGTGTGAGCAGCCCCCAGAACCAGCACAGAGCCACCTAAAGACGCAGTTCTCAGAACTATCCCTGTCACTAAGCAACGCGTGACTGTGCTGCTTTGCCCCTCGGGAGAGCTCAGCTGCAGGAGAGAACCACGTGGTAGGAGGGTTTGGGGCCTTGGGCTCGGCCCTCTTTCTGGATCCCCAGACCCTCTGTCCCCTCACGAGCGGGGCTCAGACAGTGTGGAAAGACCAAACCACCTCTCCTTACGGTGAAGGCAAATCCCGAGTCCTTGGTGACACCCCAGGGCCACGGGAAGGCAGAGGAGCGCCGGCGCCGTCGAGCGGTCAGCCCCGCCCACCAGGACGCTCCGTCCTCCCTGGACACACCGAAGGCGTCGGAAACGTCGTAGTCTTCCAGTTCCCGGAAAACCTGCAGGCAGAGGGGGACAGGCCTGCGTCAGCTGACGTGTCCAGTCCCAAGTAGGCCGTCCGTCGTGGGTGGCACAGGTGTCCACCCCAGCCTCCTGTCACATGGACGCGCTCACTGACGTCCGATGGGCTTACATTCGGACAAAGCCGAGGCAGGTAGAAAGTACCACGGGTCCACAGTGAGACCCAGCTCAGCCCCGGGGCGCGCGGCAGGGTGGGCGCTTTCTCCCACTGCGCTCACTGCGTCGGAAGAGGGGACCTGACCCCACGTCGCTGACCCAGGGAAATGTCCGAGTTCACCACTCCAAGTTCGGATTCTACCGGCTGCGCATTGCTTTCCACAATCCCCCAATTGAAAAGCCGTCAGTTCAACCAGCAAGTCAGGGACCACTTGTGTGTCACGTCGTGACAATCATCAGCGGTGGTTGTTGATAGTAATGGTCCATTTGCAGATGGGCAGTGGGGCCAGCGGTACAGGACCCGAGCCGGCGTCGTTTCTCTCGGGTCTGAGGACTTTGCCCAGCATCTTGCACGTGCGCAAAAGCAGCGACAAGGATTTACCAGGCCCCCGCGGGTTCCCCGGGAAACGGACCCCGCGGAGAAAGCAAATCCAGACCCACGACCAGCTCTACGTTTCCTGGGAGAGGAAGGGGAGAAAGGGCAAGCCACCGCTCACCTGGGCCGGAGTCAGCCGAAACCCAGACCCGAGCAGGTAGACGCTCCTGTCCACCGCGGCAATGCACACGCAGCTGCCCCTCGCGGCCCTGACCCGGAGGTCCACCACCTCCCCGGGACGGGTCTCGTTTGCCGAATACGTCAGTGAAACCTGGAAACAGCGGGAAAATCAAGAGCCGGTCCAGTCCAAGGCCTCTCTTCCCCTCCACCTGTCCACCCAGTGCCCACCGGGGAGTCTCGGGCTTGGCCAGCCCAGCTGGGACCCTGTCCCCCTACCCAAGTAGAACTCGTCCTTTTGTGATGGGCAGGGGGTCCAGGGATGGGGAGAACCGGGAGGCAGGTGCCGGCTGAGCACACACTGGAGCTCATTTCAAGGCTGCAGGGAGAGGGGACCAGAGGCTGAGCTGGGCTGGGGACATGAGGGCTGTCTCACAGGGCGGGAGCCAGGGGAGGGCAGAACAGCTGGCTCTCTCCCTGCAGGGTAGGAAGGAAGGTCACCTCCATGTGGAAGCACTTCAGCTACCAGTGCTCCAATCACAGCCGTGCCTAAGGACAGCGTCAGGCTCACAGGCTCACCACTACCCTCACCCTTGGGCAAGTGACCTGGGTGCAGTCACACACCTAGATGGCGCAGCCTGCTACATACCCAGGCTACGTGGGGTATAGATGTGAAACAACCTGTCACTCCTCGGGACACGATGAGCAAAGCAAAAGGAGACTAAATCAAGCCCCGGAGAAAAGGATGTCCCAGGGACGCAGCATACACAGGACGGCTGAGGCCGCTGCCCACGTCCCAGGGCTGCTGCTTTACGACAAGTCACTTTTATAAGTGGAAGATGCAACCCGCCAAAATGATATTAAAAACTAGTACAAGCCAGGTACGGTGGCCCACGCCTGTAATCCCAGCACCTCGGGAGGCTGAGGCAGGAGGATCTTGAGTTCAAAGCCAGCCTCAGCAATTTAGCAAGACTCTGTCTCAAAACAAAAACATAAAAAGGGCTGGGAGTGTGGCTCAGTGGTTAAGCACCTCTGGGTTCAATCCTTGGTACCAAAAAACCCCAACTATAGAAATGCGTAAACCAGTAACAGTCACTATTGTCATTGCCTGGTACCCTGGACAGTATGCAGGTGTCCATGCTGTGCTTTGAAATGCCAGCAGCACAGCCGATTGTTTCCACCGGCATCACTACAAACATGGAGTACCGTGTCACCACGTTAGGGCAGCTACGACGTTGACAGGAACTTTTCAGTCCCAACAGTTCTTGCAGACTACCATGGTACACATGGTCTGTCTCTGATCAAAAACGTCCATTACGTGGCACCTGACGATAGTCCCATAAGAGCCATGCCTGTGTCACTGGGTGGAGCGGGTCCCAGCTGTCACCCAAGCCACCACCCTGAGAAGCCCCAGTGGCACTTGCGCTCTACCTGGTTTTCGAAGTAATTCTCGACTGCAAACTGGAGGCTGTCGGTGACCCCTTCTCCATCCTCCCTGACGTACAGAACCAGCAGGCGGCCAAGCGGGACCATGCTGGGGGTCACGGCCAGTCGGAGAGAGGTCACGCACACGTTGACCTCGGCGGCTGGGGCAGGAGGGGGCTCTGAGATGGGTCCAGAGTGGGACAGGCCGTGAATCAGCCTCTCTCGGGGGACTCTGGCCATCTGACCTTGCTTCAGCCCACCCACACCAGCTCCCGTTCCCACGCACCGAAGCATCTTTCCCAGGCTTCATCCCCAGCCGACGCTGACCACACCCACTAGCTCAGCCCAGGGTGACCTGGGCTTGCCACCAACTCTCCTGTCTCTGCAGGAGCACGGTTCTGGCTCCAAGTCACCCACCACCTTCTCCATCAGCAGCAAAGTCTCTCAAGTTGCTCAGGCAGTGCCATCTCAGACCCCCAGGACACCCCTGGCCTCTGACCCCCTCCCTGAGACTGTCCCTGTCCCTCTGGGGCCCGGGACCAGCTGTAGACCTGAATGCCATTGTTGGCTGACCTGAACTGAGCCTCCCACTCCCTCCCCCGGGGTAAAGACCCTCAAAACCCACATTCTATAAAGGATCGTATACGTCTGCTGAGGTGTTCCAGAATACACATGTCCACCTTACAGTGAGGGGACATCTCCGTGCAGCCACCCAGGGAACGATCCAGCCCCAAGTGTCAGTGGTGCTGAGGCCGAGAAATTTTGCCTTAGTTCAAGAGACCCTGTCTGTATCAATCAGTCTATCATCCACCCATCATCCCATCTAGCTGCCCATCATCCTATTGATCTCTCAGTCTACCCATTTATCAATTATTCTACCCACCCACCCATCCATTGTTCTACTCATCCATTCTTTTATCTCTCTCTCTCTCCCTCTCTTGGGTGACCTTGACCCCCAAGAATGTTGGCCATGGGTGGAGACGTTTAGGTCGTCACACTAGGGTGGGGATTGGGACTCCTGGCATCGAGCCCACGGTGCTCAGGACGGCCCACCCTAGAGAGTAACCTGGCCCCAGGTGTCCACAGTGCCCAGGTTGGGACCCTGCTTTGGGCAGAAGAGGAAGGGGCTGGGAAGCCCCTGGGAGTAGAGTCGGGGAGTGGGGAAGGGCCGACAGGCAGGGATGGCCTGGGCAAGGAGACTCCAGGCCCACCCGGGTGGTGCAGGAGCCCCCATGGCCGGCCGGCCTGTCCCTACGGACACCCAGAGCCAGCAGGTCCCCAGGTTCAGTGAACCTCCGCACCCCTGCCTGGAGACACGTGCCCACCACCCCAGCAGACGCCCATCCCCTGGCCCTGGCCGCGCCCTGCCTTGCTAGGGCTCCTGTCTCGGTGGCTCAGGGAGGAGAGCAGGAACCTTCTCCCGCTGCCCAACTCACCCGTCTCCGAAAGGTGCGTCAAGCGAATGGGCTTCTCCGGAGCCGGGGCCGCCCGCCTGCTCCGCTGCAGGGTGATGTGGGCGGGCTGCTGGCCGGAGAGCACGATGTTGCCCCGAGCGGCCACCTCGTAGTACAGGGTGAAGTTACAGGGACACGTAGAGTGCACAGAAAAACGGGCCTCCTCCCCAACCTAGGGGAGACGGCAGCGTCAAGGTCACAGGTCACAGCCCCCCCCCAGGGACCAGAGGGTGGAGAGCCAGCCCCGCACCAGACCCTCCTGGGCCAGTGCTGGCTGGCGTCCAGTGTGCTGACCAGTGTGACAACAGCGCGAAGCCCAGGGTGAGAGGTCCCAGAGCCTGGCTCGAGGGAGATGTGGCCTCTGCAGTTCCTGCCGTCCCCTCGGCCCTTGGAGTGACCTGCCTGGCATGAAGGCCAGTGAGTGCCTGGGTCTTCAGTCACTATGTGAGCGTCCTGGGCCCAGTGTTATCAGCTTGACCTCTCGGGGGACAGGAGCCCGGGGCAGCCTTCCAGGTGGACGGTCGGGTGGACAACTGAGCCCTAATGAAAACTGGGCCCTGAGGCTCAGGGGCCCTTCCCTGGTGGGCAGTACCTAACTCCCTGGGTGCGGATCTCAGCCGAGGGCTGGGCTTCTCTCCCATGTCCACTCGATGACTTAACTCCTGTCATAAGCCTCGGATTTCCAGAAGGGAAACCGAGGCTCGGTCCCTTGCCCGACATCCGTGAGAGCCGGGGAGGACTCGCAGCCAGGACGGCCGACCCCGCAGCACTTGACCCCGAGGCTGCCCCCACTCACAGCTGCTGCCCTCCAGGTCCCACGACCCCTGAAAGTCCAGGTGACAGCTGCATTTACACAGGGACACAGCTTGGGGTGGTGCTGAGAAGTGGGAGATGGAGGCCCCCGACTCTGCCCCGTGCCAGAGCCAGGAGAGGCCAGCTGAGCCCCTGGACCAAGCATTAATTAGCACATCTGCCCTCAGTGCCCGGAAACTGTCCCTGGGCCCCTGGTGGCAGCCTAGCGGGGAGCAGGGGAGCTGGGACATGCTGATCTGGGTCAGGCGGGGGGCGGTGACACCCTGAGAGCAGAATCCCAAGGCCGAGCCAAGTCCTCACCTAATCAGGACAACGGTCAGGCTGCGAGAACACGAGGTTCCGCCTGCCCCCGAGAGGGAGGCCACCAGCAGGGTCCCACCCGGCACCGCTGTGTGACAGCATTACAGAAAGAACAGCGTGTCCCTCCAGGCGGGCACAGTCCCATCCGAGTCTCCCTGCCACCCCTGCAGCGGGCCATCAGCCCCTGGGAACGGGCAGCCTTGGCGCCATGACTCCTGTGAGCTGCGCCCCGTGGGTCCTTCCACCCTTGGAAGAGGAGCGAGGGGGTGTGGACGGGCCTGGCCTGGCAGCCACCGAGGCGACTGGTTTCCATCAGGGACAGAGCCTCTGCCAAGGCTGGGGTGCCACTCCAGCTGGGGGCCCGCCAGGAACTCGGCCCCGGCAAAGCCAGAGAGTGGCGCCTGTGGCCACGGAGTTGACGGTGGTGGCAACGACACGTACGTGGGTGTGAACGTGCACACATCTGTGTGACTGCACACTCAGGCACAGGTGCACATGTATGCACAGATACAGAGATCCTGACCATACCAACACAGCCGGTCACTCCTGAGGGACGTACTCTGCACATAGACACGGACAGAGGGGACACACACACACACAGGTGCTCCTCTGTGAGTCCAGGCTCTTCCCTCTTCTATGGAAGGATCTCTATCTAGATACACAAGTTTGCCCCTCAATACCCTTGGGGACCCCCCATAACCAAGTGTGCAGATGTTCAAATGCCTCGTGTAAAATGGCATTTGATTGGCACAGAATCTACATCCCCCCACCCCGGGGACTTTAATTTTAATCTCCAGATCACTCAGAAAATCTCATCAATACTGCGTACACAGTTGCCAGGCCGTATTGCCCAGGAGATGGGGACAAGAAAATACGTTTGTATGTGCTTAGCGCCAATGCACTTTTTCCTAAAAATATTTTTTAATATTTTTAGTTGTAGATGGACACAAAAGCTTTATTTTGTTTATTTATCTTTATGTGATGCTGAGCATCGAATCCAGGGCCTCACACATGCCAGGCAAGTGCTCTACCGCTGAGCCACGGCCCCAGCTCCCCCACATATACATATATATATATATTTTTTTTTAAAGAGGGAGTTTGGATGTGATCAATGAATTTTTTTTTAAGATAGAGAGAGAGAAAAAGAATTTTAATATTTATTTTTTAGTTTTCGGCGGACACAACATCTTTGTTTGTATGTGGTGCTGAGGATCGAACCCGGACCGCACGCATGCCAGGCGAGCGCGCTACCGCTTGAGCCACGGCCCCAGCTCCCCCACCTATTTTTGATTTGAGGTTTGCTGAATCTGTAAAACCCCTGGATACAGCATTCATGGGTACAGAGGGCCGCTGTGGACACTCACACACACACGCATGCACACACCCACGTATCTATCCCATTTTCCATTGAGGGTGAACGGGAAGCATATATCCTTCAACAGGCAAGTGAACATGTGTGCATACAGGAGTAAGCATATGTGTGCATATGTACATCCAGACACAAGTATACGTGCACACATATGTGAACTCATGTGTGCATGCACACGTGCACACCCCCACACACGTCCACATATCCCTCAGCAGGTGAGTGACAACCCACTGCACACCATCCGTACAAGGACACAATTCAATGATGGGAGGAAATGAGCCCCAAAGCCACCAAAGACACAGAGAAGCCACCAAGGCACCTGGCTAAGTGGAAGCAGCCGACCTCCGAGGCCACACCCTGCAAACGCAGCTCGAGGACACTCTGGGGAAAGGCCAGACACACTAAGGGGTTTGAGTGGCGGGCAGGGACGGATGGTTGGAGCCCTGGGGACTTTAGGGCCGGGAAACTGATCTGATGACTCTGTGACGGTGAAGACAGGGCGTCACGCATTTGCCAAGATCCATAGAATGTTCAACCAAAGAGTGACCCATGTAAGCTGTGGGCGTTAGTTGATGATGTCGTATCGATACCCGTTCATCAACTGCAATGTGCATCGCGTTCACTCACGATGTCAATAACAGGGACGCTGGAGGGTGGGCAGAGGGGTGCACGGAACTCTTGGTACTGTTCACTGGACACCTTTTAAACCTGAAATTCCTTTTAAAATTAAGTCTGTTGATTTAATAGAGTTTTTTAAGACTACCCACTCATAACAACAGACCCGGGAAGAACTAACGTGAGACACAACTCCATGCTCATCTTGTCTTTGCACTTAGCATATCTGCGAGTTTCTGGGTGGAGAAAGCCCCAGGGCCTTTGCACAGGAAGACTCCAGCGGTGGAACCGTCCTAGGTCCACCCAGAATAAAAGATGGTGCGGTTTATTCCACAGACTATGCCCTTGCTGGAGGGGTAGAGAACCCCTGCCCCACGGGCCTCAGTGTTAAGTCCCCGGAGCTCAGGGGTACTGCTGCGAGGAAGGGGGGCTCCTGGACACCTTACCTGCAGGGGACGCGAGGGCGGCTGTAACTGCAGGTGGCACTGACTGGGGGAGTACCAGCTGCCAAGGGCGAGGTAACTGGGCAGGTACTGGGCCCCCACGGGCTTCCCGTCCAGTGCCGTCACCTTGGTCTGAAGAACAGAGGACACACTTGGTCAAGGTCAGGGCGCCCAGCCTAGGAAGGGGGTCTTGGGTCTGCTTCTCCCTGCCCTGCCCAGGAGCAAGACTCTCAGGTTCCAGTTTCCCTTTGGGGTCCAGCATGGCCAGCCCGATTCCCCCCAGTTCCCAGAAGCGAGTGTTGAAGGCTGGCCCGAGGGTGCTGGGCGTCAGCTTGGGCAGCCGCGTGGAGCCCGACTGGACTCCAAACCACAGCTCCGACAGGGACATGCTGGAAAGCCCCCCGCCTCTCCTCCTGAGCTTGCTAATCGCCCTCGTGGCTTCTTGGAGGGGAAACCCACTTGGTGGATCAACACGGGAGCAGCCATGTTGGGTGGCACCCCAGGCTGGGACCCAGCTGGCCCGCGGCCCTGCTCCTGCACACCACCAGCCCCCAGTGATCGGGTGACTTTTGCTCCTCTGGCTGGGATCATAGGCGTATGCTACAGAGCCTGGCTTCTGGAATATTCATGATCTGCGCTGACTGCCTCTGCAGACGCAGGACCTGCAGACCCTCGAGCCAACTGTCCTGTGTGTCCCAGCTCCCCAGAGAGAGCCCCGCAAGCGCCACAGCTGGAATCCTCCAGACCTCCTCCCGCGTGCCCCTCCCCTTGGACGGTCCTGATTTGTATCGTTCTGTGACTATAAAACTGCATCTATTTATTTATTTATTTTTAAACATATCTTTGTTTATTTATTTTTCTGTGGTGCTGAGGATCGAACCCAGTGCCTCACATGTGCGAGGCAAGTGCTCTGCCCCTGAGCCCCAGCCCCTGTCCTAACACCGTATTTATAAGGTGGTGGGGCAGCGGAAAGCCCTGAATTTGCAATCAGCTCAGAAGTGAGAGTGGCCAGGGGACCCCAGCCCTGTGGCCGGTGTCTGGATGGAGGGCATCTGTGGAGGGCTGTGCCCATGACCCGAGCCGGGAGCCCGATTCTGATGTCAAAGGTCACTGCGATCTCCCACCTGGTGGGCAGGCGGAGGGGCATCTCTGGTCCGTCTGGTGACCTCAGAGGCCCCAGGCTCTGGTCATTCTCTCACTGCCCCACAGGACCATGGTTACGATGACCAGGCCGCTGTGCTCCGGGCTGAGTGGCCGTGACGCACAGACACACCTTGCTGAGGACGTCACTTGGCAAATTATGTGACATCGGTGGCTAAGGTCCTTTAGGACATGTTGCTCACGAGAGGACAAAGGGACCACAGTGTCCGCAGTCCCCATGGTCATGTTTATCTCAGCTGCTCCCCGCTCCCCTCCATGCCAGGCTCGTGGGACAGTCACGTCACAGAGCCCGGGCTGGGATGTCTTCCTCTGTTGCTGTCTTCTCTCCCTTGCTGAGGGGACCCTGATCCTGCCAGCTCCACCTCCTCAGCAACTCCAGTTTGGTGGCCTCCAGCCTGCATGTGCCTTCCTTGGTCATTCCCTGCTACAGGCTCTTGAGTGATAGCTGTCTGTCAAAAATCAGCTCCTTGGGCCGGGCTGGGGCTCAGCGGTAGGCGCTTGCCTAGCACGAGTGAGGCCCTGGGTTCGAGTCTCAGCACCACGTAAAAATAAATAAATATCCATCAACAACTAAGAAAGTATTCTTAAAAATCAGCTCCTCCTCAATGTGACAGCAATGTTTTGATGTAGGGACATTCCTGTCTTTTCCTATCTCTTTCTAAAATGGCTCATCTGGCCAAGCACTTGTAGAACCCAATGACAGGCCTCCTCTGAGCCTCCGCACATGCTGTTCCACCTGCTGGAAGCAGCCTGGCTGGCCCTGCCATGGCCAGGAGTCCACCTGGAGAGACACCCCGTGTGACCGAGCCAGGCACCTCCCCTCTGCCTTCCTCCCACAGATGGTGGGGTTCTCCGCCTCCAGCTTGCAGAGCCCCTCCCGCCCAGCGCAGAGGAGAGTGGTTGGAGGAGAGGGGCCTGGGGACTCACCTACCTCTAGCCACACTCGCTGGGCTGACATGGGGATGGAGGGGATTTCGAACCGCACGAGCCCACCCTGGGACACGAACTCGCGGGTGTAGATGTTGTCCCTGGGCATCAGCTCCGCCTTGACCTGCACCGTCACGCCCTCGGCTGGGCTGCCGTCGGGGTAGGAGAGCTCCACCTGGAACAGGTCATCAGACAGGCTGGGGGCAGCACCGGACAGATGCTCCACACTCACAGACCAGGGCAACCTCATGGTCACGCTGGCCTCAGCCTGTCCTCACATTGTCTGTCTTGCCATGGGACCTCTCCACGCATGTGCACTCCCGCCACGCTGCCTCCACCGTGATGGGTGTTGGTTGCTTTCTTTTGCAGGACTGGGAACTGAGCCCGGGGCCTCACGTATTCCAGGCAAGGGCTTCTACCATGGAGCCAGCTCTCCAGCCCCAACCACAATGATGGGGCACCACCCGGGGGGACCCTTACTGATCAGCTTATGAATGAGACCAGCTGATCTTGAGCTTTCAGCCTCTAAAACTGTGATGTTAAAAAAAAACAAAAAAACCTTTTTCTTTATGTTCCCAGCCTCAGGTCTCAGGTATTTCATTACAACAACTGAAAACTGACTAAGACCACATATATCCTCTTGGTCAGGTGTGAGATGCTGCCCTCACCGAAGCTGCATTCTCTGAGCCCTTATTCATACACATTCTGCGTCCACACAAAGTATGCGAGTTCCTACTCACACTGGGCTCTTCAAAGTAAGGAGGGGCATGCGCACTCATATGTGGGACTAAATAAATAATAAGTAAACGTTCAACATGTGGATTAATGCCAGAGGTTCAAGAATGACACTCTACAGGGAATAAAGCTTGGTCACGCGCTGCCTAAGGTTGGGGTCACTGATAGACCACGTATGTGCAGTGGTCCCACGAGCTGCCAATCCCCATGCCTGGTGGTGTCGTGGCTGTGGGGACATCGTGATGTGACACCTTCTGTAGTTTTATGGTGGTGTTGGTGTCAGCAAACCTATTGATGTCGGGCCTACAAAGTCACGCATGTCAGCCAGACACGGTGGGGCACACCATGGTCCCCGCACTCAGGAGGCTGAGGCAGGAGGGCTGCAAGTTCAAGGCCGGCCTGGGCAACTCAGTGGGACCCTGGCTCAAAAACAAAATGCAAGCCCAGCACATGCAATATGTGCATCGCACTGGGTCAGCACACCGAGTGACGTCACAGGTTGTGGATTCACCTGACCTTTCCGTTGCTGTCTCAGCGTGCAGTCTTCCTACTTATAAAGTAAGAAGTTTACTATAACAGCAGCCTCAGGAGGGCCCTCAGGAGGGATCCCAGAAAGCATTCTGTTGTCATAGGATAGATCCCTGTGTTCCTGCCCCCAAAGACCTTCCAGTAGCAGATGTGGGGGTAGAAGATGGCGTCTTAGTTTTTATCATTTTATCTATTTCTTTTGCATACTGGGGATTGAACCCACAGGTGCTCCACCACTGAGCTACACCCCTAGTGCTTTTTAGTTTTTAAATTTTGAGACAGACTCTAAGTTGCTGAAGCTGGCCTCAACGGTGCAATCCTCCTGCCCCAGCCTCCCGAGTTGCTGGGATTACAGGCGTGTGCCACCGCGTCCAGCACGTCTCGGCTTTGAACAAAAATGTTTAAAAAGTAAAAACCAAAGGAGAGAAGGTCAAGCATCCCAGTGTCAAAAGGCAAGCTATGCCAGTGTAGGCAGAGGACCTATCTTCAGCTCGGTCCCCACTGTGGGGCGGGGGGAAGCTCAGGGACGTTCCCCAAGGTACCTTCCCCACGTAGGCCAGGCCTGGCTTGAACTGTCTCCGCGTGTCCCTGGAGTAGCGGATGTCCACCAGCTGCCTCTGGACAGGGGTGGAGTCGTCGAAGGCCACCTGCTGACCCCCATCCACGCTGGTCACTGTGGCCCAGATGCTGACCCTGCCCCGGAAGTGTTCGGGGACGTCCACCGGGATCAGGTCCCTCACGCAGATGTCAAAGGCCTGGGAGCCCAGGATCTAAGGAGAAACACGGTGCATTGGGGTGGACGTGGAGGACGCCACGCGCACCCTGGTCACACCCGGGCCTCCCGGCTGCTTGGAAGACACTGGGGACAGGCCCACTGTGCCCCTGGCTGAGGAGCCGGCTCCAGCCTGACCCTGAGCCTTCCTCGTGAGGACGACAAGCTGCTCGGCCACTTTCACTCGTTGCCCGGACAGAGATGGACTGTCCCGGTGGGCCCAGGCGCACTCACAGCCGGTGATGGGAGACGGAGGCCCCGTCCACACACGCGTGTGACACATGTGTGTCTGAGTGCCAGCACACGTGTGTAGGCCTGTCCGTGGGCGTGTTGTCTCCATTACGATCAACCCTCGCTCGGCCCCACGCCCCCACTCAGAGCCCAGCGCTGCCCCCGCGGCCCCCACGCTGGGCGCCCTGGAGCCTGGTGGCAATCGACACCCAGAAATAGCTGGGACCAAGTCACTCAGGACATCAGAGACCCAGGACCAGGGCCACCGGGCGGCGGCCTCTGGGGAGAATGGCCGGACTGGGCAGGGAAGGGGTAGCGACTGTGTCCATCCCACAGAATCGAGGCCACCAGAGAGGGGGGGACGCACGGGGGCCGTTGTGTCCTGAGGAAGGAGCTTTAGGTGGGGTGGGGAGGAGCGGGCACTGAGGGGTTAACCCCCACGTCCACGCACAAGGGTGTCCTGTACGTGGGACCCTGGGACACGAGGGGATTTAGCAACTCCAGAGGCACCTTCGGAGGCAGGAGTGCCCGGGGAGGTGCCCCTGGGGTGCACGGTCCACCCTCGACGCAGCCCTGGTCGAGGGACAGCTCGCGAAGCTTTCCACACAAGGGACCTAAGACGTCCTCACTCTGGCGGTTCCTCAAAGACTGAACCCAGTGTGACCCTGTGACGGGCAAGTCCACCCCTAGGTATGCCCAGGATGAGCCACGACACGTCCACAGGAAACCGGCACATGGACGGTCACAGCAGCAGGGGAAACGGGTTTGGGGTGCAGCTCAGCGGTGCTCACAGTGGAAACGACCCAGTGCCCGCCAGTGGAGGGGTGAGTGGACCAACAGATTCGTACAGTGGAATGTTACTGAGTCATAAAAAAGAACGAAGCCCGGACTCAGGCTACAGCATGAACGAGCCTGGAAAAGGAGATGCTGAGTGACAGACACCACACACAAAAAGCCACCTAGCGAGGAGGTCCATAGAGCTGGGGCGTCGAGGAGTGGTCGCCAGGGGTGGGGGAGGGGAACGGGCTCTGACTTTAAAGGGAACCGGGATTTGGGGAGACGGTAAAGAGTCACTCTGCCGTCCACGGTCCTTCACCCCTGGACTCCACCAACTGTAGGAGGACAGTGTTCTTTTTTAATTGCACACGTGCTGAACACAGACCCCCTTTCTGGGGCATCTGTCCCTGAGCAATGCCACTGTCCCTGAGCAATGCCCCAGAACAGCCATGCACTGAAGCCATCACAGGTGACTCCGAGTCCACGGGAGAACCCGCGAGGACCTGCGAGGCTTCTGAGCCAATAGGACAGGGTTTTGTAGAAGGGGCTGAGCGTCTGTTGGACTTTGGAATTAGCAGGGGGGCAGTTCCTGGGACCGTCCCGGGCAGAGACACAGGACAACCACGTTCGTTCTAAGCCAGAAAGCCGTGACGGCCACACCACCCGGTGACTGCAGATGCCCCTTGATTTATGATGGGGCCACGTCCCGGGCAGCCCAACCTGAATCCGCCTAGCCCCCCTTCAGGGCACTCGCCGGTACTGTCCCGGAGAGCCCCCTAAGCCGAAGCCTGTTTTCTAATTGAGCAGGGCCAATGTCGTGCACTTTCTCAAATTCAGCGTGCGATTCAAAACACGGGAATTATTTATTTCTGAACGTGGAGAACGTGACAGTTGCATGGTGTTGTCTTCACTACCCGAAAATGTCAAAAAAAATCATGACTCAAACCATCGTAAACCGGGGACCGACTGTATCCAGAAAAAATCACTGAGCCGTCTACTCTGTGGACGAACTGATTGGTGTGAGAGTCATAGTATCTCATTAAAGCTCTCCCTAATTAAGTTGCATGTACGACATTAGGGGAAACTCATCCACACGTCCACACAGATAGCCCTGCCTGTTGGAAGCCTTTATTTTCTTCCTTTTTATAAATGTTTAAAGCCCCTGCTCTGCTGACACGAACTACGTCATCAGGAAAATCCCCACCACGCAGCTTTCTTAGACAATAAAATGAAATTTATGAGGAAGAAACCGAAGCCGTGGAAAGGGACCACCGAGCCAGACCCGCGGGCCCTGCTCCTCACCTTCATGGTTCTGAGGACGGGGCGCCCCACCTCGTGGCTGTAGTACCCCACTCCGTCCACAGTCATGTTTATCGTTAAGGTCCCGGACACGGGCTTCCCAAAGGTGTACCTGGGACAAAAGGACAAAGGGTACCCCAATTCACAGGCAACCCCAAGGGGCCCATCTCAGGAAGGTCAGTCTCGCAGGGTGTGGCCACTGGTACAGTGTCCGATACAATGCCCTGCCTCGTTCTGAATTCTGTCCTTCCAGCCCTCTCTGTAACCCTCTGCACCAGCTTTGCTTCTGGTGGAAAAAGAGACTGATGGTCAGAGAGGAACTCGGCCCTGAGAGCAGCAGGTTGGTGACACTGTTGGAGCAGGACAGTACAGAGGTGCCAGCAACCACGAGGACCAGCAGGACTGGGCTTGAGTTCCATAAGCCATCGGCCTGGGGATACTGGTGAGACTTAAAGGTACTTTGTCACGCCTGACCCAGAAGGGACACCTACTCACAAGGATCAGGAACATCATGGGAGACGGCAGTGAGTGCCACACTTCCTAGACTGTACACGTGGGCGCACTCGGGCTGTCATGGGATGGGGACACACAGCCAGGGGAGCTGCAGGCTGGGAGGGCCTCAGCCACAACCTCTGAGCGGGTGGCACAGTTGGCGCGGGGGTGGGGAAGCTCGAGGGCGTCCCCAGCACCCCAGGAAGAGAGAGCACTTCTCGACCCCTTCAGGTGAGCTTGGGCTGTGGGCTTGTCACCGCCGGGTCATTAGGTGACAGGTGTGGGGGGGGCGCTTACAGCTGATGGTGCCAGGGGCCTGGGGGGGTGGGTGTGAGGAACCCTGGGCCAGGGAGGCAGGAGAGGGACAGGAGACCCCTTCCTCCAGGGGTGGGGACACCTGTGGGTGGGGGGTCCTGGGGGAGGCACATGGGGGGCTCGGAAAGGAAGCGGCTCAAAGGGAAGGGGCTGCCCGTGTAGGAGAGGGGGCAGCATCAGGAGGGCACGGCAGCGAGGGAAGGGGATGGGCAGGGACCCGCAGGGCCCTCGTCCTCACCTGGCCTGCACGGCGGCCTTCTCGCAGGCGTCCAGGTCTCGGATGTACGGGGGAGGGGCGATCAGGAGCTCAAACCTGGGCAGCACTGTCAGAGCCCAGAGGAGAGACGCGGTGGCCTCGGCCTCGGGAACCCAGGGCAGGGGTCTGCACGCCGCCCCCTCCCCAGAGGGGATGATGCCCGCGTCCACACTCCCTCCGAGGAGCGGCCTGGGGGACTCAGCTGGCCTGCACCGCTCCTGCCCCGGGGAGGTCAGGGACGCTCTCCGGGGGCTCCCACTGCACCCAGAACGTGGGCTGGGATGTGGCTGATCCCGGCCCGTCCAGGGGAGGCCAAGTGGCCACCGGGAGCCTCCCTGTCCCTACGACTCCCAGGAGCCATTGAGGGTTGTCTCTAGGATGACGGCCACTGGGGGCCAGGCCCTCTCCCCTGCTCCCTGGCACTAGGAGCCATCTTGTCACCTTGCAGCCAGGGGAGGGGCCACCACCTGGGACCAGCACCCAAAATGCTAAACAAAGGGACGATTCATATCCAAGGCAGGGGATGTCATCACCACCCAGAGTGTCATGCCATTTAAAATGGATGAGCTGTTTATTTCTGGAATTTTCCATACACTATTTTCATTCTGTTGCCGACTTGCAGGTGGCGCTGTGGGTGACGGGAGCCACACCAACTCCCTGCCGGGGCCAAAGGGCATTTGCACTGGCTGCCGGTGCCTACAGTCCCATAGCCAGGCGGCCAGGACCCTCCTCCAGGGACAAGGCCTTCCTCTTTCTCTTTTTTTAATTAAAAATTTTTTTTTAGTTGTGGATGGACACGGTCCCCTTATTCTGTGTATTCTTTTCCTGTGGTGCTGAGGATGGAACCCAGAGCCTCCCACGGGCCAGGCAAGCGCTCTGCCCCTGAGCCACGGCCACAGCCCTCGGGCCCCGGGAGAGGGGGGCGGCATCGAGGCAAAGAGGGCAGCGTGGCTGGGCCCTCCTCAGCCCCTGCCCTCCGAGCCGGTCCCCAGGCCCCCGCCGCCTGGTTCTTCCCCTGCTCAGCACAGGAACCCACAGAGCGTCCTTACGAAGGGAGCCCAGCTCCTGCTGTGGCCAGGACGGACCCCGAGGGCCCCGAGGACACCGTGCTAAGCCAAAATAAGCCGTCGCTAAAGGACTGAAGCCGCTGGCCCTCCACACCCGGGGGACCTGCCTCCGTGGGTTCAGACCCAACCAAGGACCGAAAAGAGTCAGGAAAACGTTGCCCCGTGTTGAACGTGCGACCTTCTCCTCCCTGTCACGTGTCCCTAAATAGTTCAGCCTAACTGTTTCCGTAGCACGTCCGTTTCGTCAGGTGTCCCAAGTCACCGAGAGAAGACTCAGGCCTACAGGAGGGTGTGTGAGGTCCAGGCAAACACCACACAGGTGTCCCTGTGGGCTCCAGAGCGTGGACTTGGGTGTCCCCAGGGACCCTGGAACTGACCCCCCGGCTGCACTGTCAGGTTCCACTTCTGTGAGGTCCCTAGAGTTGTCACATTCATAGGGACCCAAAGTAGAAGGGTGGTGAGCAGGGGCCGGGGGAGGGGAGGGGCGGGGCGCGAGTGTCCAGAGGGGACAGTATGTCAGGGAAGTCAGGACAGCTCAGGGGCTGGAACTGGGTCAGGGCTGTGAACCCTGGGAATGTATTTAATGTCCCCTCATTGGCCACTGAAAAATGGTGACAGTGGCCAATTTCCTGTTATGTATCTTTATCAGCCACACTTAATTTGGTGGGGGGTATCAGGGGTTGAACTCAAGGGCACCTGACCACTGACCACACCCCCAGCCCTATCTTGTATTTTATTTAGAGACAGGGTCTCACTGAGTTGCTTAGGGCCTCGCTGTTGCTGAGGCTGGTTTTGAACTCAGGATCCTCCTGCCTCAGCCTCCCCAGCTGCTAGGATTTCAGGCCTGTGCACCATGGCACCCGACCAGCTCAAATAATTTTTAACAGGACCAGGACCTGCTCAGCAGCTGATGAGCCCTCGTGACTGGGGATGGGGCCCTCCTCCAGCCGCTTCCTCCCTCCCCCCAGGTGAGGACCCCCAGGTCTGAGCGTCCCCTCTTACCGTACTTCTGGACCTCAAAGGACCTGTTGTACAGGTGGCCCTGCATCTCCACAAAGACGAACCACTCCCCCAACACGGGCTGGTCGGACAGGGGAAAGCTCATGTTGGTGACGCCTGCAAGGAGAGAGACGCCCTTCGTGCTCCGGGGGACCTTGGCAGAGAGCCACCAAGGGGCCCAGTCACTGTGGCCAGTGGTGACGTCCAGGAAGGGGGACCCGGGGACCCAGCTCCTCCCCCTCCCTGGCAGCCCTCGGGGGAGCTGGAGGCCACCCAGGGCCAGGGGTGGGTGTCTGTGGGGGCAGGACGTGCAGGGCGGCCAGCGGGAGCAGGTCCTCAGCCCCCTCAGGGCGAGGCTGCCCCTCAGGTTCCCAGAGGCGCCCTGCAGCCAAAGCCGGGACCCCGCGAGGGAGATGGGGGTCCGCTCCCCAGCTCGGCCCCCACCTGTCGTTCCCAGCCTCGGCTGAGACACCCAGGGCGGGTGGTTCTCTGTGCACTGTGGGGTGTTGGGCAGCGTCCCTCACCGTCCCCCCAGATGCCAGGTCCCAATCCCCAACATGACGACCTAAGAAGTCGCCAGGCTTTACCAATATCCCTGGGGGAGGGAAGTGGGTCCTGGGTGAGAATCACTGAGACACGTGGATAGGATGATAAGTGGGTGACAGACAGAGGGACGGACAGAACAAGGGGTGGTAGATAGAAGAATGGATAGAATCATTGATGGGTGACAGAGCCGTGGAGGGGTGGTCAGACGGACAGAGGAACATGGCTGAGAGGGAGAAGGGACCACAGGTCACAGGTAGGGGATAGGTAGATGACAGCTAGCCTCCGAGTTGGGATCTAGAATGTCCCCGAATCTCGTGTGCTCAGAGGGGGGTCTGGGGAAGCAATCGGCCACTGAGGGCTTTGACTTCATCAGCGGCTGAAGGGTCTCCTGGAAGGTGAGACCCGGGGGAGGAAGCAGGTCCCCGGGGGCACCTCTCGGCCGAGGCAAGGTGGACACTATATGTCACAGAGAAAAATACAGAGCGCTCCCTCGGCCGAGGCAAAGCTTTCCCAACTGCTAGAACCAGCAGGGTGACGCGGGCAGCGGCCCGCGGGGGAAGGTGGAAGCCACCGACAAGGCCCAGTGTCCCGGAAAGATCTGGAGCCCCCGGTGGATCCTGGCCACCAAGAAACGTGCTGCAAACCCCAGGGAGGAGGGGCAGGCCAGCACTCACCGCAGCACGGCGTCTTCAGGCACCGCCACTCCATCACCCGAGAGCCGCGGGGGTCCTGCACGGGTGGGTGCGCAGGGCGGGCTCAGGGCAGCTGGCCTGTGCCCGACGCAGGACCCTCCCCGGCCCTCGTAGGCATGAGTGCAGGAAGGACGGCCCCGGGGAGGGCTGGGGAAGGGGCTCCCTGAGGACTAGGGGCAGAAGGGGCCGCGCTGAGACCCCTCCTGTTGAGGGAGCTGTGTGCAGAGGGACCCAGAGATGGGGCCGACCCAGGGACCAGGACGGGCTGGGCCCCCCCTGTGAGGCCCTGGGGCGGGTGGGGAGGGTCCACAGAGTAAGACCCGACCCTGCAGAGGGCAGGCTGCGGCCCCCATCAGAATTGAGGCGGGTCGTGGCCACTCACCAGGACGTACGCGTCCACCTGCAAGACAGACACAGGCCGTGAGCACACCTGCCAGGAGGTCCCAAACCTCTGTGCCTGATGCGTCTTCAGGCCCAGTTGCTGCTACAGGCTGAATTTTGTCCCCCAAAAATGTTGAAGTCGACTGTGGTTGTTGGTGGCTCGTCACCCCCAAAGACTTATCTTGAAATTTAAGGCCCCATGTAATGGGGTCAAGAGGTCATGGGACTTTAAAAGGCGGTTGGGTACGCGGGCTCCACCTTCCTGTTTTCACGGGGGTGGGTTGGTTCCTGGGAGACGGGTGTTCTAAAAGGTAAGTCTGGTCCCTCCCCTTCTCTTGCTTCTTGTCTCACCACGTGGCCCCTGTCTCTTGAACACTGCCACCATGTGATGCCATCTCCCCTGCTGTGACATAGCCAGGAGGCATCCCCAGAGGCCGGATCTTGGATTTCAAGCCTCCAAAACTGTCAGCTAAATAAACCCCCTTTTAAAAAAAAAACAAAATACCCAGCCTCAGGTATTTTGTTATAGCAACACAAAATAGACTAAGACAATAAGTTTGCACAAAAATGAGAACAAGTGCCTAAGAGTATCCAGTGAAGCCCGACATGGCGCCTCACACCTGTCATCCCAGCAACTCTGGAGGCTAAGGCAGGAGGATCGAAAGTTCAAGGTCAGCCTCAGCAACTCAAGAGATTCTGTCCCAGGATCAAAAGGGGCTGGGGGTGTGGCTCCGTGGTAGAGCGCTTACGTTATTTTCTCGTGTATGAGTCCCAAGGCGGGATCCAAGCCTGCTCTTCTTGGTGACATACCACCCAAGCTGTAGGGCCAGCCTGGCCCACAGCAGGCAACTCTCCCCTGTTCCCCTGGGGATTCCTGAGCTGCAGATGCCGCTGGGCACATTCACGTCTCTGCCCTGTCTATGCACACGTCACTTAAACCTCTTTCTGTGCACACCCTGCCATTTCCAAAGCTCCTTCCTGCAGCAGAATGACAACTAATCAACACAATCTGTGACCTGGGGATGCTGGAACTATCCGTGAGCCTCTAAGGGGGCCAGGTGTCCATGAGGTCTCAGGCGTCCCTTCAGAAAACTGATTGAGGACAAAGGGACAATGGGGACTTTGCAGAGCAGAAGCCAAGCAGAGGCTCCCCAAGCCACAGTGGACACCCCAGCACGGGACGGGCCCACGTCGGGGTCTCCTGTCCGTTGCACGGGGACGTCCATCGCCCTTCCTGCTGAACCTGCTCTCCTGGAACGGGCAGGCCAGTCTCCCAGAGGACAGGTGGCAAAACGGCTGCCTGGACGCTCCAAAAGCGTCATCATCATTGTGGTGGACACACAGGGGCCGCGGGAACTGACCCCGACTACAGAACGAGAAGCTTGAATGCCGCACGGATCCAGGATCGGAGTCTCGGCCGGCAAAGAAACATGGCAGAGAGGTTGTCATTGGGCACCACGGGTTCTATATCCCTGTTATTGTACCAGTGTCAAAATTTTTTAAAGTGACAGTTTTTGTTTTTTTTTTCCCCCTTTGGACAGGGGATTGAACCCAGGGCACTTGACTACTAAACTCCACCTCCAGCCCTTTCTTATTTTTTTATTTTGAGACGGGGTCTTGCTGTTTCTTAGGACCTCGATAAGTGGCTGAGGCTGGCCTTGAACCTAGGATCCTCCTGCCTCAGCCTCCTGGGATGCTGGGATGACAGGCACATGCCACCGTGCTGGCTGTTCTTGGGTTCGTAAAGGATACAGGCAGTCGCATTCAGGGGTAAGAAGGGACAAGGGGGAAGTGCCAGGTGTCCAGCAGGTGGCTCAGGTGTGCTCAGGTGTGCACTTTCAGAAAGCAGTCTCACCTTCCCATGGACAGGCCTCAGGTCTGGGGACACGGTGAAGACGTTGATGTGCACTGGAAGGAAGAGGAGAGATGGGGGCAGCTCCAGGCCGCGCCCCCCCTCCCCGCCCCCATCGCCCCGCGGGCCACCCAATACCTCGGTGCTGGGGCCTGTACACGGGCTTGTCGGTCTGGATGAACACAGAGGCCCCTCGGCTGTCCACCGTCACCGAGGTCTGGTTGTGGAAGAGGGTGCCCTCTTCCGCCCGCGGGCTGTGGCCCTGCACCCTCAGGAGTGCCTGGCCACGGAGGCCCGTGGGGACCTACGAGCAGAGCGCACAGCCCCAGGATTAGGGGTCCCCCTGGTCAGGGCGGAGACGCTGGGAAAGCAGTTTGGAGGTCTAGAAAGGGGGCGCTCGCCTGGAGTGACTGCTCCCCAGGGGACACCTGGCAGTTTCTGGAGATGTTTGGGGGGTCCCATGGCCCCCAATGCAAAGAAGGACCCCTCGCCACCTGTCAGCTGCTCCACGGCTGAGAAACGCTGGCCTAGGTCGGAGCTGCCGTGTCCTCTGCGTCACCACAGTCACCGAGCTCTTTGACTCACCAGCGGGGAGAGCTAGAAGAACCGTCACCAGTTTTCCCCAAGTGTGTTCACCGTGGGGGACAGGGGACAGGGACACAGAGCCCCGCCCCCGTATACACGGACACGTGTGTGAGCTACATGTGTTTGTGTGCTCGTCATCCTCGGTGTCGAGGGGCTTCGGTGCCAGGACTCCCCAGGAGACCCCAATCCAGGGGTGATCAAGCCCTTCGGATAAGGGAGCATAATATTTGCACGGAATCTCCCGGCTTTCTCCCTTGGACTTCAATCCTCTAGAGGACTCGCACCTCCTCAAACAATGTGAATGCTATGGACGAGGTTGATTGACTGAACTATTAGGAAATCATGACAAAAATATCTGTTCACATTTGGTGCAGAAGTGATTTTTTGTTCAAGTATTTTTTATCCGCCCGCGGTACAGAGGATGGACGGCGGCTACGGGCTGTATAATATTCCATAAGACGCCTCTCTGGATTCCTCCCTCTAGAACACGGCGGCACAGTCTGGGCTTGTATTTCTATGAAGCAGAAGAGGCGGATCCACAGGGACGGAAGCGGATCCGTGGCTGCCGGGGCTGGGGGGCAGGAGGGCAGCGCTGATGGGGACAGGGTCTCCTTTGGGGGGTGCAACGTTCTGAGCTAGACCGAGGGGGTCGTAAAGCACTGAGAATGCATCCAGAGCCGTTTTAAAATGGCAAAACAGAAAAGCGAATGGCCCACTTTAAAACGGTGAAAAGAACAGGAAATGTTTTGCCCCATTTTGCAACGACCCCGGCTGAAGCTTCGCGGGGGGCCTATTCTCATTATTCAGGGGCAGAACCTTCTCAGTTCTCCTGTTTTGGGGGGCGGTGAGCAGACCCCCGGGTGCGAGCCTCGCTCTCCAAGGCTCCTTTCAGCTGAAGGCGAACAGGCCTCCCCACTCCCGACGAGACCCACGGCCCCACCATGGCCCAGGAGCTGGGGTGGGAGCTCCTGGGCCATCCAAACGCAGAGCGCTCCCCTTCCAGGGTCTCATGGCCGCGTCCCCTGGGGTGGCCCCGTGGGCGGCTGGACATCCTCCTCCCACCATGGACGCACACAGCCTCCTGCCCGAGTCTCCGGCTGGTCTCAGGGGTCTGCGCCGTGGTGCCCACTGCACAGATGAGGCCGGGTGTGGCAGGACCCCCAGTCCCGGGCACCCCGGGCTGGCCAGTCCCCGCCCCGTCCCCAGCCTCCTCCTCCTGCCTGCTCTGGGCAGCTTCAGGGAGGGCCACCTGCCTGCGGCCTTCGGGGCCTGTCTCTAGACTGTGGTTTCCTCTCAGGACCAACCGTGGGGACAAACCTCACCCCGTACCCCAATCCAGAAATCCTTACCTGCCCTGATTCTGGAAACTTCTCCACTTAGGCCAAAGGCTACAGAGAGAGGAAAATGTCCTGACCACCTGGGAACAGGGCTCGGAAAGAGGGGGGCAGGTACTGCACCTCCAGAGGACTCGGCTTCCTTCCCGGGGACACGGCTGTCCTTCCTTGTGCACAGTGACCCCGTGGGGAGATAATGGGGACGCCCCCTCGGGCGAGGAAGCAGGGGCTCCGCGGCTGGGGCCCGGTGGCTGAACCGCCTCCTCCCGGTGGGTGAGGTCACCCGGGAGGTCTTCAGAGGGGCGCCAAGCGCCTCCTGCCCAGGGCGTTTGAGTGCTGAGCCCCGTCACACGTGGCCCTGAGACACAGTGACTCAACCCAGGTCACAAAGGCTGCAGGGCTGCTGGTCGACAGCTCAAAACAGTGTCCTCTTGGTCCTGCACCTGCCAGCCCTCAAAGGTCTTTCTAGAATGTTCTAGACAGCAGATCCCCCTGCTGTGACTTGGATATGGTTTCACAACATCCCCTTCATGTGCTAGAATCTTGGTCCCCAGGGCGGAGATGTTGAGAGGTCTGGGGACACTTGAGAGGCGGGGCCGATGGAAGGTCAGTGGGGACAGTGCTCTTGGGTCTCAGGTCAGTTTCCACAAGGGGAAGCTGGCGTAGCGTGAGCCTGGCCCTGACTCTCTGGCTTCCTGTCTCACCACGTGATCTCTCCATCTGGTACGTGCTCCCACCATGATGTCATCTGCATGGTGGAACCCAACCAAAGGGACCTTCACCAGTGTCTGAACAGATGGTGCCCCCATCTTGGACTTTTGGTCTCAAAAACTGTGAGCGAAATAACCTTTTTTTTTTCTTTATAAAGCCGCCAGCCCTGGGTACTTTGTTATAGCAAAGAGAAATAGACTGATACACCCCTCCCTTCCTGACCTCAGTGATCCAAGTTCACTCATTTAACATCGCTGACACCAAAGGGCTTGGGGGCTGAGATCCAAACACAGGAGACAAGGAAGATCCACCAACGAGGTGGCCAGGACAAGTTAGTCCGCTGGAGGCCAAGAGCAAAGGTGGAGATTCCAGGAACCAAATAAGGAAGAGGCCCCTAGGCCCAGGTCCCTGTGGGAAGGCTGGTTGGCGGTCATCTCACCTGACTCCAGCAGACACCCAGAGGTAGCTGACTTTACTTGGGCCCAGCCCTCCCCCCTGACAGGCCAGGGCAGCCCTCTCAGGTCCAGGTGGGTCTTGAACTAAGGGACCCTGTTCTGCCCTCCTCGGGGGTCTGCAGCCCAGCCCACTGCTCCAGCCCATTCCTTGCATGTGGCCCTGGTGACCAAAGGAAGGCAGGCGCGGCCGAGTCCTGAGATTAGAAGCCTCTCCCACTCTGCAGGAGCTCTGGGGCTCTCTCTGCTCCAGGCCAAGGCCGCCTCTCTTTTTCTACTTCCTGCCTCAGGGCCTTTGCACTGGCCATCTCTTCTTCCTGGAATGCCTTTCCCCTTGTGACCTCTGCCTAAAGGTCACTCTCCCTGTCATGGACAGTGTGGCTCTGCTACCCCCTCAGCATTCTCTCCCTTCCTCTGCTATATTATAAAATAAAATCACAGACCTCCTACTGTGTTCTGACCCGCCCTTCTGCCTGCCACCAGCTGAGCACGTGACACGGAAAGCAGGAACGTGTTCAACTACAGGGCCAGCTCCACAGGCTTCTGAGAGAGAAATGCCACTCAATGCACAGATATGTCCAAGAATCAGAAGGAAGCAAGCATCCCTGTGTTTTAGGTATGCTTTCTAGAAAGTTCTACTGAGAGCCTCTACGCAGCATCTTGCTGTACAGTGAGAGGCCAAGACTCAGACTGGACAGGGCCTGCCCACAGTGCCCGATGCTGATGGGGGTCCCCACAGTGCCAGCTTCCAAACTGCCCACCTGAAGCTCCTGTGTGCCCGGAGGAGTCCCCTGGGCAGCTGCTCTGGTTTGGGTGAGTGTCCCCGGAGGGCCACGTGTTAAAGGTGGTACTTTTGGGGGTTGCAGGGAACCTTTGGGAGGTGGAGCCTTGGGGGAGGTTTTTAGGTCATTGGGGGTGTGACCTCAAAGGGGCTTGAGGACCCCGGTCTCTGCCATCTTCCTCCTTGCTCTAAATGGTTTTGCTCCACCATGCACACCTGCCATGATGCAATACCTCAAAAAGCCCAAAGCAGTAGGCCCATCTGATCATGGACAGAAACTTCCAGAACCACAGCCAAAATAAACCTTTTCTCTTTATAAGTTAATTATCTCAAGTACTTCATTATAGTGATAGAAAACTGACTAACACAGCAGTGGAACAAAGAGGGGATCCTGCACCCACGAGAGCAGTGTTGCTGTCATCTGACACCCAAACCCTCATTCCACAGAGCAGAATTCTCGGCCTCGACACTGTTGACATTTGGGGCCAGATGGTTCTTTGCCATATGGGCTATTCTGACCACTGCAGAAACTCTCCCAGCATCCTGGGCCTCCAGCCACTTGGTGCTGATAGCAGCAGCCCCCTGTACAATTGTGACAACCATAGACGTCCCTGGACATTGCCAGAGGGGGAGAATCTCCTCTCCAGAGCTATGCTGAGTGCTACATCTTAAGCCTCTTTCTTGGAAGTCTCAGGCAGTCTCCAGTCCAGTCCTGAGATCTGCTGGACGCCCCTCAGCATGCTACAGCCCTTCCTCGATGTCTCATGCAAATCCCCAGCACATATGATACAGTGTGCCCTCTTAGGTAGGACGGCTGGGGACGCACATGGTCTACACATCTGTCCAGCCGTGTCTGATGTTACGAGACAGCAGATCTCATCACAGGAAGCTGGCCAGGGCAGCTCTGGGCCTCTATTCAGGGTTTCCCAGCTGTGGACCTTTGGGGCTTGCCCTTCTCTGGGTGGGGGCTGTCCTGTGCACTGAAGGACACCCAGCAGCCCTGGCCTAGACCCAGTCAATGTCCAGGAGTGACCCCTACTCAGTCAATGTCCCCAGGCATCACCAAAAGCTCCCTTGGGGTACGAGTGGAGGGCAAACCATCCAGTGGGTGAGAACAGGGCCCTGGAGGAAGGCTTCTCACCACAAACAGGCTGGAGGGGTCTGGGTGGAGCCAGGGGTGCAGGGTCTAGCTGCCAAGACCCTGGGCTCCATCCCGGCTCAGCTCTGCAACAGAGAGGCAGTGGGGGGAGTGGGGCAGGAAGACCACTCCCCAAAGCGATTAGACGCTGATGACGTCCCAGTGGGGAGGAGCCCCTGGGCCCTCACCCCCACCTCAGGGCTGGGAACGCGGTGATGGAAAGTAGCCCAGTTGCTCATGGACTTCTTGGAGCACCTGGTAAGGGTTAGGGACAGCTAATGCAGACAAGGCCTGCAAACTCCCTGAAACCCCAGGACTCCATGCAGAGAGTGACTACAGTGTAGTTTGGAATGTAAAATAATTCTTCAATAATAATACTAATGCCGAAGAGGCTGGGGGGAACCTGGTCCCTCCTGGTCACACGGCAGGTGAAGCCGTGAATGGGTACTAAGGTGCCTCCCAGGACAAAGCACCACCAGCCCGAGGCCCGGATCCTGACCTCAGAATTCTTCTTGTGGAAGACCAATGCTGCCTTCCACACAAAAGTGCCGGCCACTTTTAGATTCTAATATCAAAACTCAGTAAACAGGGCTGGGGCTGTGCAGGGAGAGCCCTTGCTTAGTACGTGGGAGGCCCTGGGTTCCATCCTCAGCCTCAATAAAAATAAGTAAATAAAGTAAAGGTATCGTGTCCATCTACAAGTAAAAATTTTTATAAAATAAGTAAAAGCTTATTTTTAAAAAAACTATGTAAACTTTTTTTCTTTTTCTTTTCTTTTCTTTCTTTCATTTTTTTTTTTTTTTTTTTTGGTGACGCCGGTGCTGGGGGTCAACCTAGGGCCTCGCACACCCTAGACAAGGGCTTTACCAGTGAGTTCCACCCCGAATTTTTCTCATTTGCAGTTTCTTTTAGTTGTAGATGGACACAATACCTTTTATTTATTGATTTGTGTTTCTGTGGTGCTGAGGATCGAACTCCGTGCCTCGCACAAACAAACCTATGGGGCCGGGTGTGTCGTGAGCGGTGAGCGCCTGCCTGGCACGCTCAAGAACCCGGTTCCACCCCCAGCACCGAAAAAATAAAGTAAAACCTATGTACAAGGTGGGGTTCGTAAATTAGCACAGATGAGGACAACAACAGAACCCGGTTCACAATAAGATGCAAATCACGGTCAGAGACCGAGAAACACAGAAGCAGGTGGGTGACAACATGTTAAAAGGAGACAGAAGCCGTGGGGGTGGGATCACGGCGACTTCCACCTTCCTTAATCGTTTTTTTACGATTCACGATTTTTCTCACAACACAAGCAACTTCTCCTGTTCCACTGCATTCCATCCTTTCTTTCCAAGGTAGGGCTTATGATTTTTAAAATTCTCGGCTTACCTTGAGTTTGATGGTTCCTTTATCTAAAAAAAAAAAAGAAAATGAAGAAAGTTAAATCGAAACTTCTGGGACTGGCAGATGTGAGAAGTTTTCTCCAAGATGGTGGGAGGGAAGGCTGGCGAGGACAGGCAGTGCTGGGCTACTCAGGGGGAAGCTGGCCTGTCTGCCTACTTAATTTACCTCCCCCGGCCCTGCCCAAAGTGAGCTGTGAAGGAAGTAAAGAGAAAACACCAGGGGAGAGGAACAAGACTGGTGGAGAGAAAGAAGAGGACACTGAGGTCCCAGTGGAGCCCAGCCCAGTAGACTAGAACTGCTCTCCCATCATGCCCTCAGCTCTTCTATCTACATGGAGTCATTTGAGGCTCTCACACCTGTCCTGGGCTTTCTGGCCTCCAGGAATTGATTAGGTATCTATAGTTTGTGCCTCCTGGTATCCATTCCCTATTTCTTGCTAACAGAACCCCAAATTCCTTGGGAGAGCCACTTTCCCAGTTCCATGGCTCAGAAGGGCAGTACCCACAGTCCCTTGGGGCTCTGTGCTCATCTGCATAGGCCTTCCTCCTGGTCCCAGGGATTGGATCAGGGTTGAGCACGTGACCCAAGATCCACCAATCAGAGGCTCCATCTTCCCATCCTGGGAAATGGGCACTTGCCCTGGTCTTTGGAGAACAGGCCCCACCAGGATTTGGGACAAGGATCCAATCATGGCAGCCAGTGGGCTTTCTTTCTGCTGTTGGTAAACGCGCTCCTGCTGAAGTCAACGTGAACTGGGTTTGGGGGCTGGCAGCCAGTGGGGGCTGCCTGTGGATGTCCCCAGCTTCCACACACCACCCCAGGGGCAGGCGCAGCCTTGCTGGCCTCGGGGCCCCAGGTGTTGGTCTGGGTCCCTGTGCCCAGGCTCTGCCTGAGCAATGAGACTGCTGGTTCTGCAGGACAGCCAGCTCCCGGGGCAGGGCCTCTGCCCAGGAGGCCACCACCCTTCTCCCCTGTGTCTGACTAAGGGCCAGAGGCTGGCTGGGAGCCAGTGCCACACAGTGACAGACCTGAGAGCCCAGGTCTGGGTCTAATGGCATCGGGGTGCTGGAGCACAACAGGACCATGAGGTCCCCTCCAGGTCCCCTGTCCTATCTCTGGCCTGGGTCTGCACCCCCAGAACCAGGTCCACTGAGGACCAAGGCTCTCTGGATATTACGCCCCGACTGGGCAGGGGACTGGCCCTCTTGGCCCTCACCCTCTCGTCTGCCCCGCTGGGAGACCGCAGCCTGCCCTCCCCCCTCCTCCCAGGATGTGAAGGAGGAGAAAAACAAAGTGACTCCCAAGGTGCCCCATCCCTGGGGACTGGGTGGCTCCGCTTTGGAAAGGAGAGGACCCCGGGTCGGGCACTGGAGGACCTACCCAGGATAGCTCCCTGGCTCTGGGCCACCGCCTGGCCCTGGGCCACCAGCTGAGCCTGGATGGTGACTTCCCCTGGGGAATTAAAGATGGTCACACTGATGACTTCCTCCACTCCCGGGCGGAACACAGAGGGCACAGCGATCAAATAGCCCCTACAGGAGAGGAGAAGGGAGATGAAGATCCGATCCGCCCCGGACTGGCCACACCCTGGCTGCGCCGGGGAACTCTCTGGAGGCAGACTCCCATCTTTTCCTGACCACCCCTGGTTGACACTGCTGCTCTGTGTGTCTGTATCTCCCACCGTCCCGGAGGCCTGGGGTTGACTTATCCACCCTGAAGCCCCCATGTTGGGTGAGAATCTGGGACCAACCCAGCATCACTACCAACCATCACTCTGTATCCTGGCCTCTGGCCTCCTTTCTCTGTTTCCTTCTGCCTCAGGACCTTTTCACATGCCATGCCTGGCCTCCAAAATGCTCTCCTCCATAAGGCAGGTCACCAGCAAGATCCCACATCATCCTTACAGCCGTCATGTCAGCAATGTCACCATTACCGCATTTACAGAGCCAACAAGTAAGCCCCAAGGAGGGCAAGCCGTGTTCCCCAGTCAGCAAGAGACCAGGCAGCTGGACCCTGACTTTACAAAAGCCCTCTGATTGTCTAAGACATTTCTGGAAGGCAGGGGTCATTATCCCACTTTTCTGATGGGAAGCTGACTCTCCAGAAGGATAAGGCACAGGCACCAGATCACACAGCCAGGCAGGAAATGGTCCTGAGTCACCTAACCTGAAGACCCGGGTCCTCCCGGCCTGAGCTCCTGCATCCCAGTATCTGCACCCTTCCGTGGAAAAAGCACAAGGTTTCTGTCACTACACAAAATGTCCTGGCAGGTGCCAAGAACCTAAGCAACAACAATCTAATCCCAGCCATGCAGACTCTGGGTACCAGAAAGAAAAAGACCAAAAAGAAAATGGATCAGGCCATGAGATTAGACTTTCAATTCCTCAAAGATCTTCTCCGTGATAATATCATGTCCATATGCAGAAAGATGGATTTAGACCCTTACCCCACACCATACACTAAGACTCAAGTAAAGTGGGTCATAGCTCTGATGTTAAGAGATAAAAACTGTAGAAGCACTAGAAGAAAATACAGGAGGAAGTCTTTGTGAACTTGGGTTAGGCAAGGATTTCTCAGATAAGAGGCCAAAAGCACACTCCATAAATGCATCTGAGAACGGGGCTGCATTAAATCATCATTAACGATGTTCTGTTCCAAAAGACAGCATGGGTGTGGGGTATCTGCTGCTGGCTGCAGGGATGGCCACAGTAGGCAGTGACCGCAGGATCATGCTGCGCTCTCTGCTTGCACAGTGGCCACAGTTCAGTCCCAAGGGATCACGCATAGGTACAGCCTCAGGACCGACCAGAGCTTGCAGTGACCTTGGGTATATGTTGTGTACAATCTAATCCTAGCACTGCCCGGCACAGACAATGACCTTGGGTTTGAAGGTGTCCTGCCCAGCTCCAGCACGGGAACATGGCTTCCTCCAGGACAGAGTGTTCCTGTCTGACTCCCGGGAGTCCCTAGAGTTTACAGAGGTCTTCCATTTAGCACGTGCGGAGCCCGGGAGATCGTCTGGTGAACAGACCATCATATCCGTCTTCCTTGGTTACTTTCCCAGGTAACCTTCCTTGGTTTCCTTGGTTACCTACCCCCGATCTGGACTACAGTCTTCATCCAGCTGCCCAGAGAACTTCACATGACCAAACCCGCCTCTCCTGCTGCTCCGAAGTTGCAGCTCTATGCAGCTGTCGGGAAGTTTTGCCAACCAAGCGCTATCACGCCCTGACCCACCTGCCAACACCTGGGCTGACACTGTCTCCTCTCCTTCTCCTCTCCTGGGTCTGAGATGGTCCCAGACTGGGAAATAGGGTGTTTGGTTAAGCACGGACAGAACTGGCCTTACGACAGTATGCAAACTTACGCGGCTCAGGTCACAGGAGCGGGTAGCCAGAGCTATTCCAAATGACACAGAACTTAGGCTAGATGAACTGTGGCCCCGGCTTAGAGGCCAGCTAATCTGATACCCTGGGTGGGTTATTTTTGGGGACTTCTCTTCGCGATGATGCCTCCCAGAATGAAATTTCTTTTGACTCAGTAGATAAGACCTCAGGGTGACCTTAGTCTGGGACAAACACTCCTGAAAACCCCTTAAAATTCTTCAACAGTCATGCTCAGAGGCGCATGCCTGAAATCCCAGCAACTCGGGAGGCTGAGGCAGGAGGATTGCAAGTTTGAGGCCAGCCTCAGCAACTTACTGAGACCTTGCCTCAAAATTTAGAAAATAAAATAAAAAGGGCTGGGGATGTAGCTTAGTGGTAGAGCCCCCTTGGATTCCATCCCCAGCACCACCACGGAATAAACTAATAAATAACAAATAAATCTGTAACCCAAGGGCTCTAAACTTGGTCCTTTTAAGCTGGTGTTTCTCCTTTGGGTCCAGACCTCTCGGTGCAGGGCCGTCCAGTGCACTGTGGGACCAGTGTCTCTGGCCTCTATCCAGAAGATTTCAACAGCACTGCCTCCCCCTAGTTGTGACAACCCAAAATGCCTCCAGACACTTGGGAATGACCTCAGAGAGGCAAAAGCCCCTCCAGGGACTGCGAACCCCTACTCTAAAGGACACCAGCACAGAAGTGGGCGGGGTTCCCTTCTCACAAAGCCCAGGGGAGGCAAATCCCAAAGCTCAGAACACAGTACAGTGTTTTGTACTTTTCCAACAGTGACCAGAAAGGCACCGTCTCTGGGAGTGACAACCCCCACCTTGCCTTGCTATTTACCTGGGTCTGGAACCTTCTGCACAAGAGCTGGTGGAGCAGGCCACCTTCTAAATGCCCAGCTGGGATTTACAGGGTGGGCTTGTGCAGGGGCAGCCCCCTGAACCCACAGCCCCCCCCCCCCCCCCCCCCCCCCCCCCCCCCCCGCTCATCTGAACTTGGCAGGTCTGGATCTTTCCCCTGAAGCCAGCTCAGGGGAACTTCTCCCACAGCGAGTGACCTCACCTTCTCACTGTGTCAACCACCAGAAGCTCTGTAAGCAAACTTCCAGAAAAATGTCCAAGCAAAACAAACACTTCCTCCCCTCTGCGCGGCCACCCAGGGCAAACACTGCCCCAGCCTCCTCCCCTTCACATCTCGGAAAACGGAAAATCGCCACCCAAGATGACAGTCCCCATCACACCCAAAACAAGAGGTGGGGTGTGGGGGCTGCCTGGCAGCTTCACCTTTGGGGAATCCCTGTACCTTCCTCCACCACCCAGGAGTCTCCTGACGTCCCCTCCCCATTTCGATCACAGAGGCAGCCCTCCAGGGCCAGCCCAGAGCAGAGGCTGTGTGGCCACGGGCAGGTCGCTGCAATCTCTGGGCCAGTCACCGAGATCCCCGCCCCAGAAGGTGGCCATCTCCGCTGTCGCCCAGGGAGACTCACAGGGCCTGGGGCTGCGCGGCGCGCACTCCGTCCCTCAAAGGCGACAGCAGCAGCAGCAGCAGCAGCAGCAGCAGCACAAACTGGAGCAGCAGCGGTCGGGACAGGGCGCCCCTCATTTTCCGGCTTGGCGGGGTCGCGGGGCCCAGGGAGGAGGTCGGGGCCGGGCCGGGCCAGGGCCACCGTCGGAGCGCAGCTGTCCCCACGCCGCCGCCACCGGGGGCTCTTTGTTCGCAGCCCCGGTGCAGTGCGCCCTGCGCCATGCGCCCAGCTCCGCGCCCGGCCACGCTGGGGCAGCCCGGCCAGCCCCCGCCTCCGCCGCGTCCCGCCCGCCCCGCGCGTCCCTGCACCGCCGCCGGCTCAACCCCCTCGTGTCCCCAGCTCGCTCCGCCGCCCCCTCCCGCCCCGCCCCGCCCAGCCCAGCCCACCACACCACGCCCCCTCCACCGCCCACCGCGCCCACCCGACGACTGCCCTGCGCTGCCCCTCCCAACCTCTGCCACCCCACCCCCGTCGCCCTGCCTAGCGCCTCCGCAGCCGTCCCCTCTCGGTCCCCTCTAAGAACCCTCTCTGCTGTGCCAGGGCGTCACCACCTTCACCCTCCCACCGCTCAGGGCCCCTGCCCAGCCTCCCGCTTGGCCTGGACCTTGCACTCTGTGCAGCCTGCGGGCCCTTCGGGGAAACTGAGTCTGGCCAGCGGTCAGTCCTCCCAGGCTGCTCCCCCCCACCCGTCCGTCCGCAGATCCCCTTGACCAGGCCCCTCTCCTGTGGGCCTCGGGGTCGCGCTTCTCCTTCAGCAGACACTAGAGTTGGCCGGAAGCTTCCTGGTGGTCCTCCTGTCCTGGGTCCCTCTGGCAGGGGCCCCTGTTCCCTGTGCCACTCACAAGTCTTGTCCCAGCTCCCTACAGTGAGGACTCTCCAGCTACCAGCTGCCCTCCTTCAGTGCGGACCACCCACCCGCCAGCCCCAATCCTGCGAGCTCCCTGTGTCCTGCCACCCATGAGTCCAAGTGCGAACTCCTGGCTGTCCAGAAGTGGCTCTAATGGCCCTGACCTCAGCCTGGTTCCTTGAGCTCCTGTCTACCTCGTTACCACCTTGCCCGTGGCCATGACACCCCCGGCCTCCTCCTTCACTGACCTGACTCCTGCTGAGGAGCGGCCCTTGCTCCCCAGCCAGGGTGGGCCCTCTGGATGCCTCGTGCCCCAGGCACAGGATTGGGGCTGACCATCGGCCATCCAGGTAGCACCTAGCCCCAGGACAGGTGTGGGCAGGCCAGGACGGACAAGACCTGTCCCTACGCAGGGGCTGGAGTGGATTGGGTGGGGGGACATTGGTCCCTCCTGCTGAGACATCGGGAGATGCCAGCCTCCAAGGACATCGCAGGCCACCCCAGGGCAGGTTGTGCCAACCAAGAACCAAGAGCAACCTCTGGTGCAGTGATGCACCGCGGACCGAGGCGGGCTGCAGGGCTGGGGTGCGGCTCAGCATAGGGCTGCCTATACCGTGAGGGTCCCCATCAGATTGTGATAGGGCTGGAGACCCTGTGTCATGATGCCACAGCACATGACACCCTCGAAGCTGGGACAGCACTGCTCACTCTTGCAGTTTGTGGTGACGCTGGTACCAGCAAGGGACTGAGCTGCCCGACGTAGAGAACGCAGCACACGGCACTTGACAGTGGATGACTTGCTGCTTGACCTGTTCACTGGACCTTCATTCTTATTTCAACGTGTGTTCTCCTTATTAAAAAGAAAAAAAAAAAGAAAGTTAACCTTGAAATTGCTGTGTGACACTGGGGCAGCGGTCTTCGTCTCCGTCTCCTCGTCCCTGTGTCTCTTTGTCTCTAGATGATGTGACAGATGGGAAGTGATTGGGTTGCACCATCAAGGTTTAAGGGAGGGCTCTGGGATGTCCACACAGTGACATACAGCCCCTGCATGTGATCGCCATCTCTGAGAAATGAGGCCACATTTCTCAGAGTGGACCCAGCTGTCAAGAGGGGGACTAGCCAGGCGGGGGTGTGGTGGCACACACCTGTCATCCCAGCGGCTCAGGAGGATCATGAGTTCAAAGCCAGCCTCAGCTACATCGAGGCCCTAAGCAACTCAGAGAGACCCTGTCTCTAAATACAAAGTACAAAATAGGGCTGGGGACGGGGCTTGGTGGTCAAGTGTCCCTGAGTTCAATCCCCAATGACAAAAAAAGAGAAGCTGACTGTGTGACCCTCAGGCCAGGCCAGCACCTGCCTGGCCAGCGTCTGCCCCGCCCGGCCCTGCACCTTGGCCCTGCACCTTGGCCCTGCACCCTGGCCCTTGCTGCCTCCTAAGCCGCCTCTGCTCCCCAGCCCCGAGTGAGCCTTCTGGGCTTCTGCCTGAGTCCCACCCATGGGCTTCCTTGGTTCCTGGACCCTCTGCGCCAGCTCCAAGCCTGGCCCGGTGCCAGCATCCCCTCTATCTGGAATGGTGTCCCTCTCCTCTGCCTTCAGGGGCACCTCACCCGTCCCCCGGCAGAGGGGCCTGCCCTGACCACCTGTGAGGTCACTGAGTCTCACGGAACCACCGAGACCTGAGTCCCCTGCTGTCCCAGGTGGGCCCTCCACCCTGCCGTCAGCCGGACAGATCTACCTCCCGCGGCTGGGGATTGTTCAGACAGCCAGCTGCATCCTCCTGTGGCACAGAGGTTACTCACCCTCAGCCCCCGCTGGCTCCCACTGCTCCCGAGGGCCACCCCGTGTGGCCCAGCCTGGCATGGTGTCCTCTCCCCCCTGGTTGGCAGTCGAGTCACCCCTCAATATCTGAGGGGAAGTGGCGGCGGGGCCCCACCTGCATCCAAAAATCTAAGGCTGCTCAGGCCTCCTTATCCGACGGCTTCGTCTTCCCCAGAACCTCGGGGCGCCCCCGGAGACCCCGAATCAGCACTGGGGCTGGGGTGCGGCTCAGGGTAGGGCCCTTGTCCAGCCTGCCTGGGGGCCCGGGTTCCCTCCCGGCCCTGAGAAACCAGAGAAGCAAAGGCCACAGAGTTACCCAGAACCCCCCACCCGGTTACTTTCCACCTCTGACTGTCCTCTGTCCTCTGAGTCATCTGGGACTCTTGTATGTAGTGGCCCAAGTGCATCACGAGCTCCTTTTCACTGACTCCACATTCTGTGGCTTCACTCTGGCAGTTGAAACTGGCTGGAGCAGAGCGCACTGATTCTGCCCCAAGGAGTTTGATGCTGTTCTGTGTCTGTGCGGAGCTGGGGACGGGACCCAGGGCCTCTCGTATATGCCAGGCCAGCGCTCTACCACGGGCCCCAGCCCAGCCCTTAATGCTATTTGGAAAATACAAATTTGTCCCAACAAAATGGATACATCGGGACGGATTTGGGCCCCAGGTGTAATGTCGCATTTGCCTACATGAGATTCTTTCTTCAAGAAAATCCCAGGAGAAGGCAGAACCCCACACCTGGCTTCCGGCGTCCTGCGGAGGTTCACGCCCCGCACACCCACACCCCACACCCTTAACACCCCCGCTCCATCAGTGCCCCCATCTCGTTTCAGGCGACCGCCTCCCTCCCAGGCCTTCACAGTAAGCCACCTGCCTGCGCCCGGGTCCACCAGGGAACCTGGGCCTGTTTCCCGGTCAGTACTGGGCTGTCGCCATGGCAGAAGGTGCGACGTCTGCAGTCGAGGGAGGAGAGGAAGAATGTCCACGCGCTTCCGCCCTTGTCAATGCTTTATTCCTCCAATCGCTCCTTACGACTTCACTCCACAGGTTCTTCACCAAGGAAATGGCAGTCCCCGAGGCTGGGCACTGCAATCGACATGGCCCACTCACAGCAAACCCTGCTAGATCAGTCTAAGCTCTGCAAGTGCTCTTGATCATGACAGGCTCGTGACAGGCGGTCCCTCTGCGTGCCAAACTCCAGTGTCAGATCAGAAGTCGCAACCTCAGATGCCCACTCACTCAGACCCAGTGACCAGGTCAGGGCCCAAGGCAGGCTTCTCCGGGGCTGGAGCTGGCGGCTGGCTGAGGAGGCGGTCACAGAGAGAAGTCCTGTTCTCACCAGGGTCCAGAGGCTGCTGTGGAGTCTGAGAGTGGGGAGAACACCGCAGAGGGTCAGGCGGGGGAGGAGAGTCGGGGTGTCCGTCCAGGTCCCCCTCAGGCTCTCCGGCCTGTGTGCATCAGTGTCGGCTGGCTGGGTGTCTCTTCATTTGCTCCAAGGTTTATATCAAATTTGGGGGCTTTGACCCCCCCCTTTCAATCCCTATCAGCTGCCACCAGCTCTCTCAGTGGTGTCATTTACCTGGTCTGGTGGTCCCCACCTCATCAGGGAGGACAGCCTGCCGGAGGCTTCGCTCTGGGTCTATCAGGTGGGGGAGTGACTTGCTTGTGTCTGAGGCCACACTGGGGGCCCTGTGGGTGAGCCTGGTGGGACTGCAGGTTTCCAACCGGAGCTTTAAAATGGAGCTGCGCAGGCTCAGGCCTCACCCCCCTGACGTGCACTTACCACAGGATTCGTGTCATTCTGAACTGCTTAACATCGTGCACACACAGGTACGTGTATGTGGGGGTGTGTGGGGTGTAGGGGTTCCCCTGAATGCCTACTTGTCAAAAAATGATGACACGGCAGGACGTGGTGGTGCTCGCCTGTCATCCCAGCGGCTCAGGAGGCTGAGGCAGGAGGATCTCAAGTTCAAAGCCAGCCTCAGGAATTAGGTGCTAAGCCACTCAGTGAGACTCTGTGTCTAAATAAAACATAAAATAGGGCTGGGATGGGGCTCCGTGGTTAACCACCCCTGGGTTCAATCCCCAGCACCTAATAAAAGACACAGGGTGACCACGTAGCATGTGGCTCAGAGACAGAAGAGGCGAAGTCACCACGTGGAGTAAAGCAGGACTGCGGGAAGGGTGGCACTCGTGGGCACCAGGAGGAGAACGGGCTCGTTTCTCTGTGTAAGGGCCACCATGTCACTGCACAAACATCTTGTGTTTTGCATAAAACATCTTCATGAGTCTCCAGTAAACACCTTGTTTTGGTTCATAATCACAGTCGTGTTGTGGCTCCGTCACTGACGGGTCACCCTGGAGCTCAGCACATCCCCCTCCCCTGCCATTGGTGTCTCAGGCCGCGGTTGACCATCCCAAGGGCCTTGTGTCCCTGTGCTCTCCTGTCCCTCTCGCTCGAGGACGCCACAGGACCACTCTCATCGCTGGCC